TGCTCGTGCCGTCGCGTGCGCGATTGGTTTGGCTGTATCAGTTAGCCAATTCTTGCGTTCAATTGGCGGGTGGCTGGCCCGAGTGCCACGAGGGCCCAACTGTTAGGCTCAGAGCCGCCGTAACCCTTCCTATTCGCCCAACGGCGCACTTTACTGGTCCAGCAGTGAGTTTTGTGTGCCATTTACTAAACATGGGTGTAGGGTCAAGATCTGCTGAATGATTTTGCCTCATGGAACTGGCTGCAGTGAGAATACTATGCCTTCGCGGTGGTAGGGAACCAGTTCTGATCAATCAAGCTTAAGATGCTAAACCAATCTCAAACGTTCAGCTATTTGCTGTGGTAGGCGCTGGCTTCAGAAAGTTCGCCATTTGGGGAGGCAGATGTAGGAAAAGTGAGCCAAACACCCAATGGCGTTGGCGAACTGGGGCGCTGCGGATGAATATTCAGGGCGCTTCGGCTGTCGCCCAAATCTCACTAGCCAGGCATGGCTGCTATAGATAGCGGCTAAAATCGAGTAGGAATAACCTAACCTAACCTGCCTACTATGCGAGTCCCAATACCTTCAGCTAGGTCTATAACGTCGCAATTCGGTTGCTCCTGGGTTTATGGAGGCATATCTACGATTCTTAGTGGCATAATCTAAGCGTCTGTGCTTTACTGTATTATTTCTGTGATTGTTCACGCTGACATAACCATGGCGGGTGGGCGCACATAAAATGAGGCACGGACCGCGACCGTCTTTCCGCAAAATAAGCTTCCCGCAGGTGAATTAACCTTATTGGTTGGAAAACCCCGGAGCCATTAGGGATGCGGCTGAGGGGGCCTGGGGCTGCACTTTAGGAAGCCAACGGTTACGAAATTCGTGCCAGTCCCGGCTGGGATATTGTTCGTGCGCAAAGGTGGGGAGCCACATGATTGGCCAGATCCACCCACACCCAGCCTTGGTGGTGACCCTCCTTAGCATCATCTTGCATTCACGGAATATAGCACAATGCGAGTTTTTCTAGGGAATTAGTTACAGTTGATGCGCAGGCTCGTCATGATCATTCTCTTAATCCCCGCATCTCCTCTCCATTGGGCTCTCCTCACCATGTAAGATAAGACTTGGTGACTATTCGCCATGTCAAATTGTGAAGATCAACATGAGCATCCAGGACTGCATCGGCGCAGGCGCTGGCGCTGGCGCTGCTCATCTCCTAGTTCCGCTTAGCACCTACATCGGCTCCGCTCGCTCAGCCTTTTGATGGACAGGAAATCAAGGAAATAAGCCCCATCGGCCGCAGGCTCAGAAGCAAGTCCGCTGGCTCGTTACAACACCCTGTCGACCCTCTGCAATTGAAGATGTGCTGGGTTCTTGTCCACCATGATCCGTCGTGCGCATCATCGGCTACCGGTGAAGAGATTGCAGAGTCCAAAAGATAAGTTGTAGCGCCTTTTTACTTGTACAACCCTCAAATAGATGCAAGTTGGTTTGTTAAGATATCGTGCAAACCGAAGCAGCTCGTCCTTTTTGAGCGCCACCTGTCAACGGCCGTGGAAAGTCGAGATCGGCCTTTCCCCTTGAATGATGGCAATTATGTTCATGGGTAATCGGAACTCTGGTTTGCCATCTTTAGTGGCTGACAGTTGATCATTAATCTATCTCTTTGAGTGGCACAAGGCATCAAAGCGGTCAACACAGGGATGTCAGACCAACCAGAAGACTGAATTCTGCCAATACAGAGCAGCTTGTATTCTTTGTGTTATAGAAGGCAACTCAGCCAATGAAAGTATATAAGTGGGGAAGCTATACTGCAATAGAAGTAGATCAGTTACAACGGAATACAGCCCTGTCGGAGATAGCTTCACCTAAATCTTGTAACCTTCTTGTACGTGGGGTCAAGTGGGGCGAGTGACCTGTTGATGCCTTGTGCCACTCAAAGAGATAGGCGATTTCATTTAGAGAATTGCTATACGAGCATGACATTTTAGCTACACGGGCATGACTCTTACAATAATGTTACTACTTGGGTAGGGCCTAGAGACCGGCCCCCCGTGCTTTACGCACGGGCACCTACGGTGGTAAGGAAAGCACGGGGGGTGTATTGACCGAGGAAAGCGTCGGTTCACAGAGAAAATAAAAAGTGACTTCTAAACCCCATAGTAATGAAGCCAAAAATGAAGTCACTCGCCTATTGGCATAGTCCCGGATAGCTGCACCGATGATGCCCACAGTATGTGATTACCCCCACTGACACCACAACAGTCAACCTCCTCAACACCAAATAACATTACCGCATTCACCCACAACTCCACCAAATCTTGATCAATTCTCACGATGAGTATATCATTCGAAAGCCCAGAGCCTCTTCTTTCTGCAGTTCGAAGATGGATTATTCCAGGCACCGGATCACCTAATATTTCGCAGTTCACACATTATAACCTTGAGAAACGCACTATCGCGGCTGTTGAGCTATTCAAGGAAGGATTTTATCCTTCTCTTACTAAAGCAGCCCAAGCATGGAAGGTTCCTTATAAGAGACTATGGTCACGGCATAAGGGGAGTCATCCAGTTAGTCAGAATGATGGAATAACTGTCTCTTCTCTCAAGAACAAGAAAAAGCCATTCTTGCTTGGTGTTGGCGACGTGTTACTCGGGGACATCACATACAACAACGCACACTCCGTCAGTACGCCAATTCCATACTCAAAGCTATGGATCGTGAACCCAAAGCTTCAAGATTCTGGGCTCGTCGCTTCTTACGGCGTTATCATAAGACTTTTCATAGAAGGAAGTCATCAACATTATCAGCACAACGGAAAGCTATGTCAGGCCGAGCAAATGTTGAAGACTGGTTCCAGAAGTTCCATACTTTCATAGAGGATGAAGAGAATGATGTCGACCTCGATAATATATGGAATATAGACGAGACTGGTTTCCAGATCGGTTATCTAAAGAACGGTATTTTCCTATGGACATTTGGAGAAATCGACCACCCAGTCCTGACTGATGCACACGAGACAATAAGTGTCACAGTCGTTGAGTCTATATCTGCAAAAGGACAGGTTATTCCCCCGTTTATTATTATGCCCGGCATACAGATTCCGTCCCGTTGGGTTGATAACCGCCTTGACGAAAATGCAACGATCGTCACAACACCAAAAGGTTATATCGACGATGTCACCGCACAGGACTTCTTCGACCACTTTGAGAAATACACAAGGCCTCAATCCCAACGGGGAAAACGGTTACTATTACTCGACGGTTGCGAGAGTCACTTCACCAAAGATATCTTCCAAAAAGCTGAAGTTACAGGCGTGATTCTATATCCCTTCCCTCCACATCTGACTCATATACTTCAACCGTTAGATGTAGGCATATTCAGCGCCTATAAGCACTGGCATCAAGAGATCCTACAACGAGAGATTGCTGATGGGGCTACGGATTTCAATAAAGCTGATTTTATGTTCCATTTACAGGAGGTTCGCCGCAAAAGTACTAAGAAATCTACTATTATATCATCTTGGGCAAAAACCGGCATTCTTCCTTATAATACCTCGGCGTCGTACTGAACCGTATGATCGATCCGTTATCATCACTTTCTCAAGAGGTAGCTGAGGACGACCTTCCCGGCTATATCTCTGAAGGGGACTCTTCTACACACAGTAGTGACCTCAGCTCCGAATCAGACGAGGAAAACGTCGACCAATCGCCTCGTGAGGTATATCAATCGCATCCTGAGGTCGAAGAGATTCGAATGATATCCTCCACGACCCTATTAATCAACTGGAACGAAGTGGATACCCCCGAGCTGAAGATGCGACAGATCCGTCAGTATGAGCAATATGTGGCCTTGCGAATCGAGTGCTCAGTGGCCTCGGGCACGCCCTTGACACCTTCTGTGTCACATGTTAACGAATAGCTGCGGAAAGCACATACAACTCTCGCCATAAATGGCATTACAGCGGCTCAGGAGATGCGCCGTCTCAAGGAGAAGAACCTTAAACGGTCTGCCCGTGATCAGGGGACTGTAATCTTGGCAAATTACGGCCCAATTACAGTCTACGATGCCAGACTTCGCGTCGCCAAGGACTTACACAATCGACGAGCCAACCAGGCGGCAGAGGAGCTGCGTTTTCATAAGAAGGAAGTAAGGGACGAGGCTGCATATGCGCGCCGGTGGCTTTTGCAAGTCAGGAAGCTTCTCAGGGCAAGTCTTCGTGACTTACGGGTTGCTGATATAGTCAGAAGTCAACCTACCTACTCACAAGAGGTGAAGTCATTCACAACCGGTCAATTTCACTTAAAGGCTCAACACCAAGAGTGTATCTCGTCAACAGCGTTACTGGGGACAAGATATTGCCTCCACCGCGAGATGCACTCGAAAATGAGGAAATCCAAGGAATTGGCCACCCTTGCGAAGAAATCTGGCCAATCAGAAGTCCCCAAAGTCTTCAAATTCCGTTGGAACCCCCCTTTCCTTCTTCCATTTGACTATGACTTCAATAACTGTAAAGAAGCAGTGGATTTTATCATTGCTGACGAGGAAAAACGGCGTGCATTACGGCAAAAGCTATGCCTTGAGATTGATGGAGTGGAAATAGATGAGGATAATGAAGAAAGTGATTCTGAAGAAGCAGAATCGTTTGAAGATGAAGAAATTGCAATTATGGATAGTATTATAGTCAGATAAGGCGAATTCGTTATGCTAAAGGATAAATAATTTACTATATTTCTCGCGATAGCATTTTAGTGTTTTTGCTGTATGCAACTGGAGTGAATAGTCCGGCCAAATCATGCAACTAAGCGTATGAAATAAGTGACTTCTTATTTTGGTGTAAATAGGTGGAGAAATGAGGTATCTCAATTTTCCCAGTCAGCAGACCCTTTTCCCGGTCAATGCACCCCCGTGCTTGGAGCACGGAGCCTGCGGAGTGATTCAAAGCTAAGGGGGGCCGGTCTCTAGGCCCTACCCAAGTAGTGACTAAATCAACTCTAGTAGAGTTGATTTTACATTATTCCATTCTCACAAGACAAAGTCCCTCGGATGGCGGGTCCTCCCATTGCAGAAGGTGTGGTGCATGCTTGAAGACAACAAAGCCCGCATCGTCGAGGCCCTACATGACGACCTTCACAAGCACGAACTCGAATCTCTTTCGGTTGATGTCTGCGGCATACAAACCGCATGTCTATATACATTTAAGAACCTGAAAGCATGGACATCGGACAATAAGCCGTCGAGACTCAGGGCCGTCAACTTCTTTGGCCGATCAAGGGTTCGAGAAGAGCCGAACGGCCTCGACCTCATACTCTCTGCATGGAATTATCTTTTTATGGAACTCTTCGAACCGATGATGTGTGCGATAGCTGCGGGATACAGGTAGTGGTGATCATTAATAGGTGTTGGAATGAAAGCACGCAGTTGGTATTCATCCTTGAGAACCGAGACCAGTAGAAATCTAATACTGTATTTTAATTTCGCTACAACTCTGGAGGGCGTCATCTACTATTCTTCCCATAAGCATAATCATAGTCTTGGTATTAGATGCGAGGCTGAAGCCCAGAATCCGCGATGGAATCAACCACGTCATCCCACAGGGCTTCTGGTTGCTCCAATGATGCAAAATGGCCTCCCTTGAAGTTGTGTCAGCCAATTCAAAACTCGAGACCCGTAATAAGAAGCAAGATGAGAGATTGATGTGGACTCACTCGTTCATGATGCCGGTACCACTTGACTTTTCCAATTCTATCCAACCAGTACTTTGGTGGGTTGCATATTTCTCGCCTGAACCATGAGTACGCGAAAGGACATTGAACACCATCAAATGGCGATCCGAGCCCTGATGCCCCGGAAACCATAAGTCGATACTGCCAAATCGACGTGGGATAGCACTTTGAGAACCAGTAGAGGGAGACGTTGGTAAGAATAAGCTCTAGAGAGGGTTTGGTCTCGGGATCCGACCATTGAAGAAACTTTTCTCCAATCCTGACATGATTTAGCGGCCACTTTAACAGGAGTGAGGGGAATTCTAGCTTGATAAAAGAAAAAACTTACCAAGAAAGAAGAGCGATTGGGCTACTACCAAATGCCAAGCCAAGTGTTCCAGGTCGTGTACCTTGAATTGCCGCATACGCGAAGCCCGTGGCTACAAACTCCTCGCCACGGCTCAAAGCGTCAATCTCAGCGTCTGTATATCTCCCCAATCGGATATCCTCTTTGACATTCGTTCCCTCGGGCGGTGGGATGAATAAAATGTTGACGTGTACAAGCCGGCAAGACTCAGGGTCGAGCGCAGCTACTTTGGGGGCAATGATGCCGCCAAGGTCGCCGCCTTGCACTACGTACCCGCCATGCGCCGATGTAAAGCCCATGATATGCATCAGTTTCACCAGGATTCGGGCATTATCTACATAGCTGAAATCCTTATCCAGGGGTGGCCCAGAAGAGAAGCCAAAGCCAATCAGATCGGGGACAAGGATGTGATATGGCAAAGAGTCTGAAGATGGGTACCTCTGATTGACGATATCCAGCATTGGTAAGAATTGGACAGCGGACCCAGGCCAGCCGTGAAGGAAGAGAATAGGCAGAGCATTTTTATTTTTGGAAAAGAGCGCGTTGAAACGTATTGTGTATACTTGGCCGTCATCGTCTGTGACATCTGCTGTATATTGTGGATACGAATTGAACCTGTGCTCCCATTGTTTCCTACATCATTTGTTAGCCAGTTTCTTTTTATATATAACACTGCTTTACCAGTTATAATTGTGACGCCACTCTTTCACTGCGTGGATTACCCAATCTCTGGTCGTGCCGAAACGATCGTCTCCCTGCGAGTTCTCCCAGTTCCCATCGGGGATGGGGGAATTGTCGAGGAGCAGATGGAGTTTTTCGATATCGCTTGACGGAACTGTAATTTGAAATTGTTTTATATGAGCTTCGCTTGCCACGGGATGGGGCAGCGTAGTAAAGTCCTGATCTGCCATGATTTATACTGTAATGAGGTGAAAGTCTATACGAGGGATGGTTGTGATAATGTAGTGAGAATAAACTTGGATTTTGTTTTTAACACAAATGAGGTGAGTGGGCCGTTTATCAAAGAATTCTATCAGAGCATTAGCATGCGAAAGCAAGGATATGGACTGCACGGACGGAGCTAGGGCGTCCGTCAAGGTTCTCAGAAAGTGAAGGGACTGGACTGCCAGCAAAGGTACTACGATAATGAGGAGGCTGGCGGGGACTGGTCTGAAGCCCCACCTGTGGTCCAACGGTATGTATTTCAAAAGGAGAGGATGTGCAGGGTCGGCAGTTGTTCAATACAGCAATGATTCCTTTGTATTATGTTCGTCGGGAACTTAGAATCAGAAAGTACCATACTTGACAGTTTTAGCCTTTCATCATAGCGTCGGAGTTGAGCTAGTTGCGGACTTTGTAAGCTGGCTGACAGTTTTCGCCTTTTTAAAGCTTAGCCTTCACATGTGGCCTAGCGGCAACGATGGAACTTCCCGGTCCTGATGTTACCTGAATTGATTGCATGAAGCGCTCAGTTCGTTTTGTTCGGCCGCCGCCGAGGAAGATGTACCGTGGACTTGACGGTACACGCTGTCGGCGCAAATCAACCGGTATCATGACCTCTAGCTGTACCGATCCTCTGGCCGGTCCGATTGGGCCGGCTTTTTCAATTTCGTTTTTATGACTAGAGGGGAAACCCAAGAGTTCTTTTGTGGGGCACTAGATTTACGAAGTAATGGCTATCCCCCGGAACTTGCTTTTTGCTGTTTTTCCGGCTTTGTCTGTCCTTGACAATGACAACCCCCGCTCACGAGTATTCATTCGACTTCGGGTTTTTCTGCAGCCCGGTAGGTGCTTGGCACCAGTTGTCGAGGTAGAGACCAATATGATGAAACTAGCCCTTTTGCCCAACCCAGCAGTAACCATGGTCAGGTCGTGGCGGACGAAAGCTTCAACTGCGGCCTCGCCAGCCGACAGTCTCGTCGCGCCCGGGAGACTCCAGTACAGGAACCGCTAAGATCGCGCACACTTTTATGATCATAAAGCATACGAAAATGATAGTTCCTGCTGATGTCAGGAAAGTCACGCTTGGGAAACAAAGGGAGTGGAGGGGCACAAGTGGATGGGCACCAAATGGCAGGACCAGTAAAGTCTTCCTGTGGAACACGTCGTTTGTGATGATTTTTTGGATAAACGTTAAGCCCTCGGTTTGTAAGCTCTGCTGTGGGAAAATTACTAATCGGCCCAATGGCCGGTAGCCCGTCTGTTAGGATAAATAGCGGAATACCATCCCCTTGGACGGAATATGTTTTGAGTCAGGCTACTTCATTCCTACACTAGTTTGTCTGCGTTGTACCAATTCCAACTATGACTCCTACCATCCTTGTCGCCGGCGCCACTGGCAACACCGGACGAGGCGTTGTTAAAACCTTGTCAGAACTTCTGAAAACTACCACGAACTTTTCCGGACATAGAATCCTTGCTCTTACACGTTCCTCGCGCGGAGATACAGCAAAACAGCTCGCCGAATTGCCCAACGTCGAAGTAGTAGAAAAGAATTGGGCTGAGATCACCCCGGACTGGCTCCGTCACAACAATGTTGTGAGAGCTTTCATCGCTTCACACGTGCACCCGAATCAATTCGCCGAAGAATCGACGTTTCACCTGGCTGCTCTCACAGCAGGCGTTCAGTATGTCGTACGAATCTCAACAACCGCTGCGAATGTGCGTCCGGATTGCCCCGCCTACTATCCAAGGACGCACTGGGCAATTGAAGCCTTGCTGAGCTCGCCGGAATTTGAGCGTCTGCGATGGACTTCGCTGCAGCCCAATATCTTTTCCCAATTCTACCTTTCTCCTGCCGCCGAGTTGATCAAGAACTTCCGCAAGACCGGGAAGCAGGATACCCTAAGGCTTATGGCTTCAGAGGATGCGCCTGTTGGCATCATCGACTCGAATGACGTCGGAGTTTTCGCAGCTCACCTCTTGACTGCGGATGATGTCATCCCGCACAACAAGGCTAAATACGTCTTGAACGGACCAGAGGATATCACCGGGCGCCAAATTATTACCATGATTGAGGAGTACATTGGCACCAAAGTTGAAGATGTTCGCTTTCAGGACCTATCTTTTATCGACCACCAGGCAGCCCAAAATCAGGAGTCCAAGAATCTCATTCTGTCGGTCAAGTATGCTCCGAAAACAGCCTGGGAGGGAAAGTGCGGAGCTACCACGACGAGCAAGGAGGTCCTTCAGCTAGCTGCGCCGAAACGTACGCCTGCTGAAGTTTTCAAGACAATGGTGGAGGAATAAGGAAATGCTCTCACTGAGTCCTATTTCCTATCTTCTTAGGTAGAAATGTTACGGGGATGAGAAAAAAGGTGTGAAATAGCCTAATAAAAGGAATCTCTTAAACATTCAGCCGGATCTGGTTTATATCTGTTTTTGTTCTGCGGAAGGCCTGCCTTTATGTTTTTGCCTGTGAAAGCCGCATGATAGGCTTCGTTAAACGCAATGAAATCTCGACCTTGGTGATGTGGTTAACTTGTAACTTGATGAAGTGCTCCATTTGGCGACCATACCCCTTCCAGAAACTGAGGCACCCAACATCAAGCGGCTGGGTTAACCGCGATGAATGCGGCGAAAAGGGTAGTGCAATAATCTTTCTAGCCTTGCAAAACTCGCCAAAGGCAGGGGAGTGATGGTTCTTGTGTATTGATATGCGCAAGATACTGATGCACCACGTTATTGAACTCCCGTAAAAGCCATAGCATGATATAAGCATGTCAATTATATTAACTTCATGCTCTAACATGTGTAGCACGTCGGCCTTCTTGTCTCTCTAGGGGCAACTCCTCCCGTCGTCTTCGTCGCGAAGCATTCTGTATCAGCCCAATACTAGCTGTTTGGAAAAGTCTTGTTAAACCGAAGCTTGCCCCACGATTTCCTCCACCGAAGCTTGTCCCTCGATTTGCACCATATTCTCTATATCCTTGATCCAATCCACTCTGTGCTTTACAAACTGCTCGATCGTTGGCCTCAACGCAGTCTCTGCAAGCTTGAAATCATCTACTGTGCCGATCCTAAGTATACTCGCCCCTGGGAAACTTGCACTTCTCCGGTACATCAATGACCCACAAGTACTGCAAAAGAAGTTGGTCATGACGTTCCCCTTTTGCCCGATTGTTTGTGATTGGCCGAATTGCTTAAGATTTTCTTCCCCACGAACATGCTTTAAGTGAGTGTCGAGGATAACGAAACCGGAGGTAAACATCGAAGCAGTTATCTTGCGGCAGTCACTGCAGTGGCAGACGAAGGCGACAACGAAGCCTGGTTTAGATAGAGGCTGGCAACGATGAGACACATGCGTCTTTGAGGAATTTTGAAGAACTTACAAAAGAAAGTTGCACAGTACCGCAATAGCATGTCGCTGTTGCTTCTTCCGTTGTTGACCAGCCATCTTGCGCAAGGCCGGCCCGGGGGAAGAATGGCCCTGTCCCATCGATTACTCCATCAGCCATGCTTAAAGGATATATTGGGGTGATAGATTGGAGAGAGTGGTAATCGCTTTCGCACCTCCGTTAACAAAGACAGAAAATGTTAGGCCTAGATCGTGGTCCTCGGAAATCCATGGGAAGTTTATATCATTATTTTCTCGGCTGTGAGGCTATTCTATATATTTCTATGCCTCCTGACTACTCCTTTCTCCTAATTAGACCTTTACGGTCGCAACTCCGCAACTCCGCAACTCCACACCCATATAAACCTAAATCTTTCTCGTGTTACATCGGCAAGGTAATTTATTGGGACATTACTCAACTAACGTAACCAAACTTGCGATGGCCTAAGCACAAGTCATTAACGCTAGTTCAGCCAAATACCATGTAGGATATGATACAAAGCCTGCTATTGCTCGCTTTGAGGACGTATCTGGAGAGAATATTCACCCTGTTATGCATGAGCCCTCGGCATGTGTTGTGGGTGATGAGATGGGTCAGAATGTGGTCAGCAGGTAGAGAAGGCCCGGTATTATGGACTACTTTGGGCTCTAGAGAAAGCAGTGCTCTGCTTGGTATCCTGCGGAACTTGGTTACCTGAGGCTGGAGTAGTTGGGTGGTTCCATGGTCAAGAACCTGTTGGTCGTTGGCAGCGGTCTCCGAAGTAAGAACCACGGGCCGAGAAGTCTGCAATGAGAAGCCAAGACCATCATCCAATCGCCAGCGTTCAATCCGAAAAGGTTTTTTTTGAGTCTTGGTATCCGTGCCCTCTTGGTCCTTGATCCGCTGCCCTAATCAATCCATCAGCGAGGAAGACAGCTTACAGTTACAGGCATCTTGCAATCTTACTGCGCGCTCTCTGGTTCAGTCGGTTCTGCAATTTCTTGCGCTCTCTCCGCTCCTCCAAAGTGGGCTTTTGGCCAGTGGGCACCATCTTTGCAACAAGCCGACATGAGAGGAACATCAGTCCGGGTAACATCAGGACCGGGACTCAACATTTGGGAATTTCCATCATCGCCGCTAGGCGTCATGCGAAGGGCTAAGCCTAAAAAGGCGAAAACTGTCAGCCAGCTTATAAAGCCTGTAACTAGGTCGACTCCGACGCTATGATGGAAAGGGCAAAAACGGTCAGCTAGCTTATAAAGCCTGTAACTAGGTCAACTCCAACGCTATGATGGACAGCGCTCATCATAAATCAATCAAATCAACTTTGAGGTAAAAGTTGATTTGTTTGATGGGGCTTCGGTCCAAAGTTGATTGGTTTGATTTGATTGGCTCGTCTCAATCAATTGTATGGGAGGCCTATATATTGAGTATGTGAACAGACCTGCGTATATCGATATCCACCGAAATTCTGGCCCTTATATCGATATCCAGATAAGTGGGAGAAATTATCTGGATATCGATATACCCAGGTAGATATCCATACAGCCACATAGCCACTTTAGCAAGGTTGATATCCAGATAAACCACATATAATTCTTGCAGGCTAGAGGAAAGAACAAGAAAGTGCCCTAATCTAGAAAGTCCTCTGCCTCTGTTTCAACGCTAAATTCAACAGTAACGCTCGAAATAACGCCCCTGCCGCCGTGAGACCTAGGCACGATGATACGCTCGCGCATCCAGTTGCCCACACACTCAACCTTCGCCAGGTTCTCGCAGATCATGCTCTCTCTATCCCATGATAGCGTACGCCGCGCCGATGAGAAGTGAGACTCAACATCAGATGATTCAGGAGGGATTGAGAGGATATCAATTGCCATGCGGGATAACCGCGGATATGCTTTCCTTTGATCTCGATGTAGCCACCATCCGAGTAACGAGAGGGAAAGAAAGCATCAATCCGAGGACGTTTGACTTCCCTTTCATCATCTAGAACATCAGAACTGCCCCCAATGAGCGTGCGATCGAGGGAAGAGATAATATCGGCATGACACCGCCGGGCATGATCAGGGCTGCCGTCAGATCAATCAAATCAGATTAGGACGTAAATCTGAACTGAACTGATAATTTGCCCTCTACATCTGATCTGATTGATTGATTGATAGATATCTGATATATAATAGGTCACGTGGAGCTATTCCCAGCCTCACGATTCTGCCCGTGGGATCTGACTGCCTTGTTGCTTAAGCATAGCCCCCTCAGAGTAACACACCCTCCCCTTATCCAGTTCTTCAGTAATTGGATCGACTCAATGCTCGATCCAAGTAGAGAATGTCGCTGTGAGCTGACTGTAAGCTTCGCAAGAACTGAATGTTCTCTCACAATCGGTTGACATGGCCGAGATTGCAAGGGCATCCAATGCAAATCTACTCAAACGCGGTATTGCTATGATCAATCCACCAAAGTCTGGCTAAATCTATGCCGTATCAGAGCGAGAGGTAGAAAAAAGGGGTGATCTACCGTATTTACTCACGAGATTCGGAATGCCCTGTGGAGTCAACTACCCTTCTTACGGCTGATTTAGCAGCATATAATTGGCCTTTTTGGATTTAACACGGCTATAATCGACTTTTTGAGAGTCTAAAAGGAATGAGCCACTTAGTACATGGCATTTGACTCCACAGGGCGTTCCGAATCTCACGAGTAAATACGGGTACCTTTAGATTCGCCTCTACCTAAGACCCCGGCAAGCAAGGGTCCAGGACCAATCAGCTCGGCTGACCCCTGTAACATCGTAGCTTTTCAGGAAGAGCCACCCTCTCCGGAGCCGGAACATACAGATGATCCGGCGGTTCTAGGGTAGCTGCTCTCCATTCAGATATATCAGATGTACAGATGCTTGTGTTTGAATTGATTGATCTGACGAAATTTCATATCTGATTTGAATTGATTGATCTGATTGATATATCTGATTGTTAATCTGATCTGACGGCAGCCCTGGGCATGATGCCACGCGTTGTCCCGCGTCCGATTCGCCCAGGGCTTATCGGCAGGGCAATGGAGACATCGATACATCACCATGCCCCTAGATTTGCGCGTACGTGACCAGCCGGTGGTGTTCTGGGTGTTTTCATCAGGATACGTTGCTTTGAAGAAGAGGAAAAAGTCCAGAGACGTCCCAGTAATGGGCTGGTCCGAAATCGAGGGCGTAGAGGCGGCGGTGGTCTGAGATGATGTCATGGTCGATAAATCACCTGGATAAGCTAATTGTGCTAGAATACCTAGGGGCGTTTGAACGAGTACTGAGATGGTGGTGCTGATGAAATTGAGAGAAGTCTTTTCATCATCTAATCAGTTGATAAGATCTTTTCAGCCAATCAGAGAGCGGTATTTAGGTGGATATCATTCTGGATATCCATTTAAGAGGCAGAGAGTTATATCGATATCGATATATATCAGTATCGATATATCCAGATAGCACAGTTGATATCGATATATCATATCCAAATACGCAGGTCTGGATAAGACCAACACCGAAGCCAGCAAAGAAGCGACCTGCCAGAAACAGCGGAATGTCGGTCGCGACAGTGTGCAAAACAACTCCAAGGTTGAAGACCCAAGTCGAGATCATCAAACCAGGGCGACGACCAAGCCAGTCAGATAAGAGAGGCGAGGCAAGGGCACCGAAAAAGGTACCTGCAGAGAGAATAGACACGATGGCTGATTCTTGAGACGAAGTGATGTTGGGGTTTCCTTTAGCATCAACATAACCAGTGCTGAATTCGCGCTGCCAGTAAGGCATAGCCAAGATACCGCCGATGGTGCCAGTGTCATAGCTGTAGAACATGTCAGTTAGCTTGCACTTATGGAGAGAGGGAAGAGGTGGCAAACCCAAAGAGAACACCGCCAAAGGCTACGAAGAATCCGACGGCGATGGCAGGCCACGCTTTACCAGGGTCATCTCGAGGCCTCGCAAGAGACACTTTGCCGGTAAGTCCCATCTTCAAAGTGAAGAAGGGTGCCGAGTCACTGCTGAGATAAAAGATAAAATAGTCAAGAAAAAGGTGTTTGGCAGCTGTGAGTAGAGGGATCGCTGTTGCAAAGATGATCTTGGCTGTGGGAATAATCACCCTCTTATAGATTCTTCGTAGCCTTGAGATTTATCTTGTCTTCGACCGAATTCTGTAGGTTGCGCCTGAGGAGAGGCTGGATCCAACACTGGTGACTTGGCCAATCTCTTTGATCGCATCTGGCTTTAGGAAAGAGTGACACGAGTCGGAGACGTTCTTTTCACATGTCTGCCAAGCCATTCATCGAGATCCCTGTGATTGTGCTATAGGGAAGCTGGTGTTGAGAGCCGTCGAGAAGGACTATCTCAGATCCCGGAGATATTGATGTGAGATGGCGTCGAATAGAACCAATAATCTGTCGCACCTCGAAGTAGTTCATCTGTTGGTTCATGGGATTCTACAAGTGAGCAAGGATTGCGTGTGACTTCGACATGGATAAGCAGCTTCCACAGCGAAGCCGGGCGATTTTGACCCTGGATCGTTTCTAGAATGCGTCGGTGAGGCCGAAGCTAACTTGAACTAATGTCCCCATCATCTGCATCTTTGCCCGCAATAATGCAATAGTGACCGGACTTGGAACTGGGGATAGCATCATGTTGGGTGCGGGGTTGGGCTGTTGGCTGTTGGAGCTGAGCTATTGTGCAGACTTTTTTGTTTGGCCAGCGCTTGTAATAGCCAGAACTGGACAGACATTAAGCCATGTTGGGTTTAGACAAGAGCTATTATACCCTCCCTATAGGAGCCCCCTCACAGAAGTGGATTTGCATCCTTACAACTCCCCCGCACAACCAAATTAATCCCCATGGAGGTTAATCCGCGTCTGTAAGCACCGACGACACACTTTCGGTCAATGTCACCTTGTCCCTGCCAATGATCGTCCAAGGATTTCATTTGTCGGGCTGGCAAGAAAGCATGATGTAACATTTGCCCTTGCAAGTGGACGCCTCTGACGCTTAGACGCGTGATTAAGGTGTCAGCCCGCCTTCCATTTACCTTCCAGAAACCCGCTAGCAGACACATCGCTTACTAGCGTCTGCACTGTTTCGAGTCAAAGCGTTGCATTGAGAGAGGATCACCACCATAACAGCTCGAAAGTCAGCTAGTCCACATGTGGTATGTCGAGCGTCCCATGCATTCCGTGAGATCGTTGTTAATACTCCGTACTTCCTTAGACAATAGCCTAGACAAGGTTCACTGTCTTCGTTCAAGCCTGTTCTGTCCTTGCATGCATGTTCCACCATTGGGCTTGACATCCTTGCATGCTGATTCTCATTTCCCATTTCGCCTAACTTGCTGTATTGGAGAATACGGCAGGTGGAGCTCTCACAATTGACCATTGGCGCGGAGTTGTTTCTCATGTCCGCGCTCGTCTAGACTCGGCAAATGCACTAAGCGCATGGTCAACGGGCGACTCTAAATGACGAGTCTCTAAGCTTGAGCAAGCAGTTGATCCGTGCTTCACCTCGTTTGCGAGAATTGTCAAAGCTCTGTCAGAATTATGGCATGTTAGTGACAATTACGGAGTAGCTTGTGCAAGGATTTCATTCCGCCGCGGAATATCTTCCATCGATCTTGCCCACTTCGAGTCATGCGATAATACTGTACTGACAGCTTGGCTCTGCATCGCATCCGTAGCGCCCGCCATATTCCCTGCAGCGCATGCGTGGAACGTCTCGAGTGCTTCTAGCTCATTTGAGCCTAGTCACTGTTCTCCGCATGCCTTCTCCGCAACTCCAGCAGAAAGTTTGTGTTGCTGATGTACTCCGTACTCATGTGCACATTCGGTTCAGGCCATGACTCTAAATTGATAGTGCTCCAAGATTGCGACTTGTGAGCTTTGTACTTGAGATATATAAAAGCTTCCGTGGAACTGCGATTAGTGAAGGAGTGATCAGGGCAAGCCCAGCCTGTTGCCCAGATCTGATTTTCTCTATCCCTATACTCCACTTGCCCCTCAAGTCATCATGCTCTATTCAGCCCTTCTCCCAGTAGCCGCCACCTTGGTCGCTGGAGCTTCGCTCCCTCACTTTAAAAATTGCCATCTCAAAAGTTACCCAGGTCCAGAAAATCCAGGTTTCGAGACTGGTGATCTCAAAGGCTGGAAGGTCGTCAATGGCACTGCGTTCGGCAAAGACTCCATCTCCAGTGATGTATCCTACTGGGATGGTCCTTTTCATCAAGATGGCAAAAACTTTCTTCTTGGCTTCAAGCAGGCTGGCGAGGAAGCCGTTGGCGAACTCAAGTCAAGCACCTTCAGAGCCAGCTCTGTCCTGAGTTTTCTGGTTGGAGGTGGCTACGACCCTGATCACCTCTACGTTGCTCTTGTGCGCGACTCGGACGGAAAGCCCCTTCTGAAGCAGACAGCTACTAACGATGAGGCTCTCATTCGTATCACTTGGGACACAAGCAAGTGGCAGGGTCAGAAGGTGCACATCCTTGTGCATGACAGTAGCATGTCAAAGTCCTGGGGTCACATCAACATCGATGATGTCCGCGTTGGCTGCCATGCTCTTGGAGACGGCAAAGACCTCTCGTTCAACATCCTCGGTCAGGCAAACCAAGTCCCTCACAGCTCCTCCACTTGCTCCTCCTACGCTGCCGACCCCATTAGACCCCAATACCACTACACGCCTTACCAGGGGTGGATCAACGATCCCGCAGGTCTGGCTGAGTTCCATGGGGCTCATCACCTCTTCAGTCAATATTACCCAGAGGCTCCGCTGTGGGGTCCGATGCATTGGGCACACGCCAAGAGCACTGATGCGGTTCATTGGCGCGAACAGCCGGTTGCTTTGTATCCTGCTAAAGTGAGCAATTCGAGTGATGACTCTGGTCGCTTTACTGGGAGCGGAGTCGTCGACAAGAAGAAGAATGAGCTGCGGCTTATCTTGACTGACTACATCAATCTCGCTTATCATCCTGATGCAGTCCAGGAGAGTGTTATTACGGCAACAAGCAAAGATGGAATCAAGTTTGATCTTGCCAAGAAACCCATCATCTCGGGCCCTCCCGAAGGAGAAGATCCATTCTTCCGAGACCCCAAGGTCTTCCGTGATCCGACCGACAACAAGTGGAAGATGGCCGTTGGCGCCACTAACGGTGAAAGTGGTCAAGTCCAGCTGTACGAATCCGACGACCTCGATTCCTGGTCTCATGTCGGCGTTCTGTATACCGGCGATGGCAGCACTGGAAAGCTATGGGAGTGCCCCAATTTCTTCCCACTAGGAGACAAATGGGTTCTCTTTTATGGCGGCAATGGACTTGGTTGGTACGAGACTGGCACGTATAATGGAACAACTTTCACGAGCGAGAAGCGCGGTCTTCTTGATGAGGGCCCTTCTAGTTATGCTATGCAGTGGTACCAGGATGAAGCGGGTCGTGATCTAGCGATTACCTGGATGGCGAACTGGCCTAGTCCCAAGTGGCCAAGCCGCGTGAACGGATGGGCTGGACAGCAGTCAATCACTCGCGAGCTGTTCATCCGCAAGGATGGTGGTTTGGGTCATCGTCCGATTCCGGAGCTGAAGACCCTTGCATCTGGCCGGACTAAGAAAATTGGAGCTACAAAGGTTACTCGAAAGGGTCTCCATGTTGGCAGCTCCAACAGCGCTAGACTGACCCTTGCCATCGATCTCACTGCTTCGGATGCTACGTCCTTCGCCCTCTCGCTCTTCAAGTCCGCTGGTGAATCTGTGGTGCTGACATTCGACAAGGAGGCTGGAAGCCTCACCCTTGACACTACCAATGCTGGTTATGGGCAGGCGGGCAAGTGGAAGGCTTTTGTTGATATTGCTGATGACAAAAAGTTCAGTCTGGATATTTTTCTTGATAAGTCTGTGCTTGAGATTTTTAGCGGTGATGGAACGGTGTTTTCGGCTACTGTCTTTCCAAGATATCAGGAGTCGCAGGACATTAGCTTAGTCGCGAGTGGTGGTGCTTTGGCAGTGGAGTCAATTGCGCTTACGCCACTCGGCTCCAGCTGGTGTTGATTAGTTCACAAAATTGGTCAAAATTCGTTTTGGAGACGTTTGGATGAGACGAGTTGCGGGTTCCGGGGTGGTTTATGCATGGCTGGATAGATGAGGTGGGCTGTTGGAAAGGGTGGCGTGGTTTTATTTAACCCTTGTACAGAGTACCGTGATTAGAAACAATGTAGCTTTGGATGGGCTCTCATTCAAGTAACGTCGCGGAAGATGTGCAACGAGTGGCGCTACTCGATTTGATTCGTGATATACGATTTGATGAGGCATGAAGAATGCTCACTATTGTGTTGATAAATCAAGTCCATTGGACATGTTCTCCTCGGCTGGTTCAGTCTTCCAAGCTGCATGCACACCTGAGGCCCGGCTCACGCTAGCCCCGTGGGGAATGTGCAAATTAGCCTCCACTGATGGCCTGCTTGGACCTGCACCTAGACAAACGCAACGCAACGCAACGCAACCACACCTGGAGACTAGTGGTTCAGCAAAGGCGGGGTAAAGCAATGGTTTGCGCCCTGTTGATCTCTATATTAATCCTGTCTCCACCCTGAGCCATTCTCTCCTTTCTTATCGTTGGACTACCCGTGGAACCACTCTCTTGCTCATGAATTAGCCTGTTGTGACACAATGTCTGTCCCTGAGGCATGGCCCTCGAGCCCAGCGAAACTCACCTTGGAAGCTTGGTCGCAGGGTTGTATGATTGGGGCTTTGATCATCATGATTGGTATCACCTTAGCTAATATGCGGCGTGGCGTATTGCTACACAAACTTATCTTGATCGAGGTGAGCATCTTTATCGGTATCGCATTAATACATAACCATCTCACAAATCTTATAAGCTGCTTCTGGCGATGCCAAATGGCTTCTTTACCTTTTTCGACCCTCCGACCTGGGGATGGTATCTTTCCTCGACTGTCATTTTCCTCATCATCTCATGGAATCTGCATAACGTCATCGCCTGGATGAAGAACAAGCCCTTCCTTTCAAAGCGAAATAACGCTATATATATCGGCACTATTATACTAGTCCAACCCTACTGGGTCCTCGAGATCTATGCCAACTTCACCTACTTTAATACTCTTAATAATCACCTTTTCGTCTCAATCCGACCGCTTGAGGCTGTCTGCCGGTAAGCATCACCACCAAGAGATACTTGGCAATTTAACTGATAAATATTAGTGACCCTTGGTGGATTTTTACAGCCATTAACCTTTTTTGGAATATCAAATACCGTTATGAGTTTAAGCCTCTAGAAATTATCCGCATATCCCCCCGTTTCGGTCTTTTGCTATTGAGCATGTCTCTCAGTATCATCTTTATCACTGTCGATCTTCTCTCCGTCACCCCCGTTATCCCGATCGGTTATATCAATCCCTTCTGGAAGTTTGCATTTATCTTCAAATGCTTCACCGATACGATCGTTCTGGACGACTTCAAAACCGCACTAGATAAGCTGAGTCGATACAAAATGAATCAGAACTATCCGCTTCCTTTTAGCAGACCCAGCAGTCAGATACAGAACCAGATGCCTAGGCCAAGCGTGGAAAATTTCCATGATATCTGCCGTCTTGAAAGCTTGAGCGTGACAGTTGAGCATTTGGAAAAGGCGGACAATTCTATAATTCGTGCTCCGGCACGAGTAGTAAGGACCTCCGATGCTGGGCTTTTAGGCAGAACGTACTGAAGAGCTAGTCTGCGCTGCGCTCAACACTTCTGTTCCTTATATCTGGGCAACAATAACGAGTGTAATTTGATGTCAATAAATGTTGTTAATCTACGAGGGATCTTATGTGCCAATCCGTTTCGCCTAATGGTCTTTGCTAATTGTACCAGCCACTACTCATGTTCTCTCGTAGAGGCGGCCAGAAAACTGTGAGGTTCGTCTCCATAGACCTGATTGAACGTATTAGAAGTCAGCTAGCGATTCCCAAACAGAGCCTACCGTGTCCTAGCTTCCGCTTTGGTAGAGCCTTCACATACCTTTCAGAGTCTTCACATAAATTTAGTAGTCTTTACATAATTTTAGAAGCCTCTACACAATCTTAGAAGAGACTTTATATGACATGGAGGAGCGTTAAATGGTAGCATATGGCTAGTGATTTCCCATGAGATATTTCCACGGTGGGATTGGGAGTCTGTGACTGGGCTGCTGCATGGTTTCATTGAGCTCTAGCATACAATAATGTGTTCAGTCCATGATCAAGCGATGGTGGTAACAATTGACAATCTAAAGCTGAAACAACTGCGGCCCTACTTGTCGACACTAAGCCCTCCGAAGGCTCAGTGCGGCGCATTTCCTATACCGTGCGGCGTGAGCGAGCCTTGTGCACCTACTCAAGCATCTAGAGTAGAAAATGCATCGCGCCTCCAATTTGGACACGTTTAACAGAAACGCAAAATGCAGCGCGTTTCTTACACGAGAGCTAGTGCCAACTGTTCGACTCCTCACTTTCCCTTTTATTTGACTAGACTGCTGGAAGATATGCAGCAAATGGTTTCTATCTATCGAAGTGAGCGGCACGACAACCCCTGTGTCTACTCTGACTATTCTCCACAGCGTAGTCGATAGGTGTTGTACAAATAGCTAGAAACTATTTCTTACAACCAGCGTGGCTAAACGACGCCAACGTCAAACTTCCCTTATCCGACACAAGCTGAATGCCCCGCGCCGCTTTATTGGGATAAATTAGGCCCGATAGCACGGCCACACCGCCATTCACGAATACCTCCACTGAATTCCAATCCACATATATCACCAGCTCGACCGTATTCGTTCCTGAAGGATTCGGTGCCGTCCGCACAGCGTCGTACGCCTTCTTCGGGCCCTCCGCAAGGGAGTCCGTCGCAGAACCGTCCGAGTCTCTGACCAGAAACGCTTCGGAATTCACGAAGTTGTAACCGACGGTCGTGCTAAAAGACCCGTCGGATTTGATGCGAAAGCGGACTTCGTTGCCGCTGTCGCCGTCACTCTTGGAGATCGTGGCGCGGATGACGTATGCACCTTCCGCAAGGTTGCTTGGGAGAGATGCAGTCGCGGGATCCGTCGTGATGGTCTTCCCGCTCACGGAGCTGGGAGATTCGACGGCTTCACACCCTCCTATTGGGCTGCTCACCAAGGTGGAAGAACCATTGACAGTCTTGAGCTTGATCTCCCGAACCAGACTGGTCTGGCCAGCGAAGTCTCTGTAATAAGGCAGCGTCGCTGCGTAGTCCCAGTTATTCACCCAAGCAATGGCGTAGCGACTGCCGTATCTGTCTTTCGGATTTTCCCAGCTGACCGTGGCGTAGAAGTCGGGCCCGTCATCCATCCATTGCGGGAAGCTGTTCGTGGCGGCGAAGCCTTTGCCGTCCCATTTTCCGGTCCAATATGCGGTTCCTGTCGTCCTACCGTAGCGGTAGCCGTTCGCGCCCATGGCGAGAACCCAGGTGCGCTTTGTGGTGTCTCCGTCTAGGTCGATCTGATATAAATCTGGGCACTCGAGGGTGCCCAGGTCTACATTGGCGTCCCCAGGTACGAAGTCAGACGTATGCACCCAGGTCCTAAGGTCTTTGGAGGTGTAGAAACCAATCTTGTTACCCTCGGCGAGTGACATAGCCCAATACCCCGCTTCGTCATCCCAGAAGATCTTGGGATCTCGAAATGCGGGTTTAGTACTCGGGCTCGGGTTTGGCATTACAGGACTGCCCTCATAAGGGGTAAAGCTATACCCATTGTCGGTGGAATAGAAAAGAGACTGCTGTTGCACCCCATCTGCCATCTGTGTGAGCATGGCCACGACCAGGGCTGCCGTCAGATCAATCAAATCAGATTAGGACGTAAATCTGAACTGAACTGATAATTTGCCCTCTACATCTGATCTGATTGATTGATTGATAGATATCTGATATATAATAGGTCACGTGGAGCTATTCCCAGCCTCACGATTCTGCCCGTGGGATCTGACTGCCTTGTTGCTTAAGCATAGCCCCCTCAGAGTAACACACCCTCCCCTTATCCAGTTCTTCAGTAATTGGATCGACTCAATGCTCGATCCAAGTAGAGAATGTCGCTGTGAGCTGACTGTAAGCTTCGCAAGACTGAATGTTCTCTCACAATCGGTTGACATGGCCGAGATTGCAAGGGCATCCAATGCAAATCTACTCAAACGCGGTATTGCTATGATCAATCCACCAAAGTCTGGCTAAATCTATGCCGTATCAGAGCGAGAGGTAGAAAAAAGGGGTGATCTACCGTATTTACTCACGAGATTCGGAACGCCCTGTGGAGTCAACTACCCTTCTTACGGCTGATTTAGCAGCATATAATTGGCCTTTTTGGATTTAACACGACTATAATCGACTTTTTGAGAGTCTAAAAGGAATGAGCCACTTAGTACATGGCATTTGACTCCACAGGGCGTTCCGAATCTCACGAGTAAATACGGGTACCTTTAGATTCGCCTCTACCTAAGACCCCGGCAAGCAAGGGTCCAGGACCAATCAGCTCGGCTGACCCCTGTAACATCGTAGCTTTTCAGGAAGAGCCACCCTCTCCGGAGCCGGAACATACAGATGATCCGGCGGTTCTAGGGTAGCTGCTCTCCATTCAGATATATCAGATGTACAGATGCTTGTGTTTGAATTGATTGATCTGACGAAATTTCATATCTGATTTGAATTGATTGATCTGATTGATATATCTGATTGTTAATCTGATCTGACGGCAGCCCTGGCCACGACGGTATTCTTGCCAAAGCCAGCCGTGTTCTCCGTGTCGACCACGGCGCTGCCGGTTTCAATGTCTCCGAGGATTTTGCCGCTGGGAGGGTTCGGTTTGTATTTCTCGATAGCTACGCCCCGGCGAGTCCAGGATACCATGTCGGTACTCGTGATGTGGTACCATTCCGTCCCCCCTGCACCAGGGTTTGAGGCGTCCCAGTTGGAGTTGTATAGGTAGTAGAGATGCCATTCATCCCCGAGGAAGAACGGACGTTGAGGGTCATTCATCCATTTCTTCTCGGGGGTGATGTGATAGCTGGGTCGGGTCTGGCTGGCAGCAAGTGGGATTGTACTGGCGTACAAGGCGAACGTCAGCAATGAAAAGAAGCGGAGCGTCAGCGTCTCCGGGAAGAGTGTGAGAAATCTCAGCATGGTAACGATGAATGGATAGGCCTTCAGATTGTCGTGCTACCTGGCAAAGCAAACAACGTGAATGTCCTCCCTTTGTTCATACTTATATATAGGCTGTTCGCCTAAGAAATGAGCGATCTGACTGAAGGCTTATTCGACGTCAGTCTCCACGAACCGACGTAGTATACCCCCGTCAAATCAGATTGAGCCCCGGCATATAATAGTAGGGCCCAACACCAATGAGCGGCCGTCGTATGACCACAACGAATAGCGAAAGCCCGATTTCCCTCCATGTGTCAAGGCGCCTAAACGTGAACTTGACCAAGCAATACAATATTAAAGCCTTCGCACGCGTGGTACAGTAGCACTTCAATCTTAATGATGCGGGGTCGCCGCCTAGCTAGGCGCAGCTGCTGGAACGCGCTAAAACTACGAAAAGGTTGCGGAGATGCGGGGGAAGTGATAGAAGAGGAAAGAATGCGGGGGAGTGATATACAGAAGAGGAAAGGAAATGCAGTAGATCCTGTGCGTCTAGTTACTACGAAGGTCCAGGAAAACTCTGACTCCTTATTCCTAGGACCATTTGGGCAGGTGAGGAGGATGTCCTCAGTTCTTACACATTTCTTGATACGGAGCGGTGGTTCGCAACACAAGTCGGAAAAATATTCTGCCGACTGGATATCTTGTACCAAGAGAGAGCATAACGCTAGAACAAACTAACGATTTGAGAGAGCATTGCAAAGACAACATCTACGTGTTAGTTAGGAAGAAGAAATTGAACCTTGCTGAGGCTGATGCGGGGCCCGTCCCGTCGGGCGGAGAGGCTTGGCAGCTACGCCAGTAGCTAGGTGGAGTAGTGGGGCCTCGCACATTTCTGGAAAGCCGCTAGAAGGTTTAACAACACTCCTTCTTGAACCCCCCTACAGCCCTCCCCCCCACCCAAAAGGCGCTAGAGTTGCTAGAAGTGAACGGGTTGCCGTGGAACCTTTTCGCGTCACGCTCACCTACCTTATGCCCGAGCATCGAAAGAACGAGATTCCTTAGTCTCTGATAGCCCGCCAATTTTCATTCCTCACTCCCATCGGTGAGACAGCGTATAATATCGTATTCCAGACTCATGCCAATGCCTGGGAGCGACAAACACTAGGTACAAGGCCATACTTGACTGATTCACATCGCGGTGCGCACCTACTGTCACAAAATACGCTAACGTAGCCGACATGGGGCTCATCAACAAGGGAAGAGGGGATCCTGGCGTCGCGGTCTCTCTTCCCCAGCTCCACATAAATTCCTCATAAATGCCTCATTTAGGTCCTGTGGACGATTGGGCGCTTGCGCGACTAGAAACGAGTGTACTGACTGAACCAATGAGATCGAAGTAATCATGACCATATGTCGGAGCGACATGAACCGAAAGTGGCATGGACCTTGGATGAGAACGCACGACCCTCCTGGTCTGAAAACGGAAGGTAAAATGCTGCCACCAGAGCCCCCCGCATTCTCCGCAGACTTCGCCCGACTATCGAGCCACCTAGACTTAGTCTAGCTTGATTGATGTAATGTAGAAGGTTACCGAAGCTTTCTACAGAGGCGCCAGGGTTTCAGGATATCCGCCAGTGTGGGTACATTTTACCATCTAATTTCGACCAAGGTGCCCTTCTATCTTGGTACGCAGCTACATCTGTAATTAGGTCAAATTTAATCGCGCCATCGTCCGAACCCATGAGAGAGCCACCAATCACCATCGGTAAAGGTGGCGTCGGCCCTTGCTTCGACACGATTCGGTCACAACAACTAACGACAACACTAAGTCCTTCACGTCCTAGGTAAAGAGTCCAGAAATCAGTGTTATCCGCCCCTTCGATCTCCCAAGACCTAATAAGAAATGTATAAATCTTCCATGATTTCTTTGCCATTTCACTTCACAAGAGTCAATTCAGCGCCATCAGTCAAGATGCAATCTAAACTCTCCCTTCTTTTTGCTTGCTTGCTGGCAACCGTCAGTGCAACATCCTACACCGAGGCCTATCGTCCTCAATATCACTTCACCTCAGCCAAGAACTGGATGAATGACCCCAATGGCCTCATCTACCATAAAGGGAAATATCATATGTACTTTCAGTACAACCCCACAGGCGACGTCTGGGGAAATATTTCCTGGGGCCACGCAGTCAGCGACGATCTCATGCGCTGGAAGGAACTACCTGTCGCCCTCAACGCCTTCAATTCACCAGCAGGATCGTTAAATGAACTGTATTACTCCGGAAGCGCCGTCTCCGATGACGCCCTGACTTCAGGTCTTGGTAATGGCAAGAGACCTCCTCTAGTGGCCGTCTATACATCGCATTATACGTCAGATATGACCCTACCGAGCAACAAATCCGTCCGCACCGGCCAGGAATCTCAATCAATCGCCTTCAGCACAGACAATGGCCTCTCTTGGACTGAGTATCCTGACAACCCAGTCATCCTAGAGCCTCCCAGCCAATATGCCGACGAATATCTCAACTTCCGCGACCCATTCGTCTTCTGGTACGGGCCAAGTAAGCACTGGGTCATGACCGTCTCACTACCCAAACTTCATAAACTGCTTATCTATACTTCCAAAAACCTGACGGACTGGGAACATGTCAGTGAATTTGGCCCTGTCAATGCAGTTGGTGGCCAGTGGGAATGTCCCAGCTTGTTTCCGCTTCCTGTGGATGGTAAAAAATCCAGAACAAAGTGGGTGATGGTAATCGGACTCAATCCTGGCGGCCCCGCACATGCCGGTGGATCAGGAACCCAGTACGTGGTCGGCACTTTTGATGGAACAACATTCACGGCAGACGCCACTAATGTCTACGATACGTCTGCTCCAGCAGACAGTGTAGTGTTTGAAGATTGGAGTGAAGCCAGCTTCGCCGAATCAAGCTGGAAATCAACTGATGATTTCGTCAGACAACAGCCCAGCAACGGCCAGGTACTTACGTTGTGGCAGAAGGGCGACGAAACTGTTGGATCTCTTAGCTCCAAGAAGTTTACTATCTCCAAGAAATACATTGCCTTCAAGATCGGCTGTTGCAACAATCCGTACAGTCCAGAGACGTATGGTACGACAGAGGATCAAGAGACTGCCATCAACCTGATTGTGGATGGACAAGTGGTACGATCGACCAGTGGCGTCAACGGGGGTGATGTGATATGGGCGAGCTGGAACGTCGCCAGCCTCATTGGTAAGACTGCCTATATCGAACTTGTCGATCGTGCCACAGGAGGTTGGGGCCATCTTGACGTAGGTGAAATTGTCTTCACAGACAAATCACTCACGCCACAAGCTAACTGGATGGACTACGGTCCTGATTACTACGCCGCCGCCACCTACAATGGACTTTCCAATTACGAGCGTGTGGCCGTCGGCTGGATGAACGATTGGGCCTACGCAGTGGACACTCCTACCTCCCCATGGCGAAGCGCGATGAGCATTCCCCGGGTCTTGACACTTGAGACCGTCGACGGGAGGGCGCGCCTGATACAGAAGCCACACCCTAACCTGCAAACTTTAGAGAGCAGAAGGATGTTGTATAAAAATCAATGGCATTCGACTCGCACGGGCAATCTGACCCTCCCAGTGTCTGGAAAGGCCTTGGATATAACCTTGACCTTTTCTCCCGGCGCAAAGTCCAAAATGCTGGGCCTGAACGTGCGAACGGACGGCAGAACATACGGCACCGCTATCGGCTATGATTTTGATACAAATGAAATGTTCGTTAATCGCGAATCTTCTGGTGACTCTTCTTTCAGCGCCTCATTCCCAGGCGTATACTACGCTCCGCTGCCTGTCAGGAATGGAAATGTTAAACTACGCATTCTGCTTGACTGGTCATCGGTTGAGGTGTTTGGCGGGCGTGGCGAGGAGGTGATAACAGCACAAATCTTTCCTTCGGATTCAAGCACGGGTGTTTCACTGTTTTCCGTCGGCGTTGTGAAGGACGTGAAGATAGAGGTACACTCGGTATCGTCTGCGTGGAGGGGATCGCATTGGTAGTAAGCGTTGAAGAGGGTAGAAGGCAATGGGAGCAGGCTAGAAGAAAAGCGACACATGACTCCTTCCGTGGCCATCAACACTAGACAATTCGGAAGATGAGACTTCATATGTACATGCAATTCGACTTAAATGTTCTTGTTACGGGCACCTCTATTCTTCCCAATACTCCAACACTTCACTACTGGTATGCGTCCAGCACTTGCCAACAGGTAACGCATCGCGATCGGCCAGCACTCGGTTAGCCATTTCTTCCACATCCCGCAGTCGCGGGGGAAAACCTCGCGAACCCAGGTCGAGAATGAACTGAACAATAATCTGTTCTTCTAGATCGGATAGTGTACGTGATTTCGGAATGACATCGCACCGAGCAGGGATGTCGCGGTATCGGCGCCAAAGCGAACTGTACGGCGCTTTGTAGGTCCTTGCAGCACGACGAAGACCCAGTTTTGAGTCTTTTCGAAGGGCTTGAAGAGCAAGAATGATGTTTGCCTCTTGATTTGATTGTGACATGTTTGGTGGCTGCGACACATGTGATTAAATAGAGATTAAGGTATTTTTGATCCACTCACTGATTTGATCCACTTGCTGATAGTGTACGTTAGGCAATAAAGTACCACTTGTTTGAGGCATTTTAATTGGACCGACCCCGCTGTCAGTACGGGGAATTGAGGCTTGTGGGCACTGAGCAGATAAGGTTAAGAGGTATGGAGTAGCGTCTGGTACACAGTAACATTATTGTTGGGCTTTTATTGGGCAAACTGTAGTGTAGGTGGCTCTCTTATCACTTATTACAGCCCAAGCAAGTAGGTCCTGAAAGGCGACGTGCAGGAGCCCAAAGGGCGAGCTGCTACTCTATTCTACTCAACTCTCGACGGAGGGAGGGGAGGCCTCCCAGAGGACCTTCCTAAGGTGCCTGCACCAGGTTGGCTCACACGCCTTTAGCCATACTTGTATGACGTTGGCTGTTTCCCGTACTTAAGGCAACGAAGCAACGTGTGGCACGCGATTGCGAGAGGTGGCGGATGGTTTGCTTTCTTTTTCCCTCTTACCCTTCGACCACGTTCCCTTCAAGTTTTATGAAACAAACTTGCGCCTTTAATCGTATCGAATCGTCCTCAATGTTGTCGGATTATTTTCATTGACGTTTATTCAGATTACCTCCCCTGCCTGCCCTACACATTTACTACGTCCGTGATTTTCCTCCCTGTGAGAGACAGTCATGCGCCATAACTCACGGCTCATCTGCCTCTCTTCTGGCCCTTGACAAGCTTGCAGCATTTCACCCTTTGCTATTCCCCGACTTGATCAGACTATTAAAAACTCGCGTCGTGAACGATTTGCTATCGCATCACCCTGTGCAACGTCAAGAGATAGGGATTGGTTGGAATGGAGGGAAATCCAGAAGCCGAATCCGTACGAGGGGACCGACCCCTCGAACCAAAGACAGAAGCAAAGGCACCAGCAGATGTCGATTTACCAAGCGAACCTCAAGGATTCCAAGGCCACCTTGAAGTGACAAATGAAGCTCAAGTTGAAGACTCAGCAAAAGCCCACGTCAAATCATGGATCGAAGCCCAGAGCGAAACCCAACCCCAACAGCCTCCGTCCGAACCCCCAACTGGTGATGCAGAGGGTGACAATACTGTAGGTCAGCTGCCCCGCGTCGAAAATGATGCTTCCAGTACAGTGCCTGGCGTGATTGGCACAGCAGCTGGAAGCGCTTCGACCATGACCTTCGCTCCAGGCACAGACCGGCCAAACCCAGCACCACCCGCCGCTAAAGCTGGAGTTGGAGTTGTAGCTGGACCGGCTTCGATAACTCCACGCGGTAGGGCTGCATCAACTTCCACTGGCCCCTCCACCACAGCCGCCAGTCATGGCTATGTCCCTCAATTTGTCGCTCCGTCATCCTATCTCAGATGCAGGACTTCTATCCGGAGCCCAATGGCGCCCACTGAGCCAAAGCCTCTAAGTCCGTTGGACAGAGATCAGTTGCAGGGTCTGGTATATGTTCATCTCTTTGTCTCCCTTTCAAATTTGTCTTGTCTCATCGCATCCGTCTGCCCGTACAACTTCCGACGTGGGGCACGCGCGCATCCGATGACCGACGATATCTTGAGTTGAAGCTAATCTCGTGCTTGATAGAATGCCATTCGCGATTTCCTCAAAGTTCGCACCAGCTACGATGTTCTACCCTTCTCGTTTCGACTCATCGTCCTCGATACCGATCTTCTCATTAAGAAAGCCATCAATATCCTTACGCAAAACTGTGCGTCACCCGATACCTGCAGATTTGAACACCAATGCTAAACTTTCGCCATAGCAATTGTATCGGCTCCTCTATGGAACTCAAAAACCTCTCGATTCGCCGGTATCCTTACCAGCACCGATTTTATCAATGTGATTCGGTACTATTGCCAGTTTCCTGACGAGTTCAGCAAACTCGACCAGTTTCGACTCATTAGCCTAAGAGGTTGGTTGGTGTCTCTATGCGGTGCGTGTATCGCTAACAATGGCCAGACATCGAGAAAGCGATCGGCGCAATACCCATCGAGACGGTCTCGGTTCACCCTTCAAAGACGCTTTATGAGGCCTGTCGACGCATGCTCAAGACCCGCGCTCGACAAATCCCACTCGTCGATGTCGATAGCGAGACTAACAAGGAGCTGGTCGTTTCGGTCATCACCCAATATCGTATCCTCAAGTTTATCACCGTTAACAATGAACACAACACGGTGCTGCTGAAAAAAACAGTTCGAGACATTGGCCTCGGCACATACTCAGGCATCGTTACCGCCTTGATGAGCAGTTCTGTGCTTGACGTGGTTCATCTCATGGTGAAACACAACATTAGCTGTGTTCCAATCGTCGATTCACATGGGCGGGTGCTGAATGCCTTTGAGGCAGTTGATGTCATCCCCTGTATCAAAGATGGTGCCTACGATGACTTGGACGGCTCTGTTGGTGAGGCGCTATGCAAGAGATCTGACGAGAGCCCTGGCATTTATACATGCAGCGAAGGTGATAGCCTAGATTCCATCTTTGACACAGTCCGAAAGAGCAGAGTTCATCGTCTGATAGTGGTTGACGATGAGAATAAGCTCAAGGGCATCATCTCGCTCTCAGACATCCTCAAATATGTCTTGTTGTACGGAGTGGAGGACATAAGCAACTGGGCTTGACAGGATGGATTCATGACTCTCTACCAAACATTATGAGGCTTATAATGACTGCATACCGTCTACGGCCGAGGGAGCTCTCGTAGGAGAGACAGGCGCCGGATAGGGAGGCAAGCATATAAACTGGCGCAAGGGGAATTTCTGTGGAAAGAATATCAATGTGTGTATACTATTTCTTTCGCTATAGACCGTTGACAAGCCATGCGTACATGATACAGCTTGTCTTAGAGAAGACGACTTCTCTAGACGTGTCACAGCAATGGACGCTTTTTCTCGGCTTCGGGAATCGAGTGGCTGCCAATGTTTGGGTGGGATTGGCTAGGTCTCATTTGATATGGATGACATGACGGATTATAGTCAAACTTGATGTTGTTGCTTGCTGCACTCTGGCGACATCGGTGCTATCTATTCTATTTCAGTATTTCATCCCCTATCTCCCACTTTAGCTGTTTGTTTTGTAAGTTACTATCACTATCCAGCTGTTAGACCAAGTTTTATTGTGCATTATTACCCTGTACCCCGTCACGCTGCCAGTGGCATAGACCGAGTGTCACCCGCTGTTAGCGTTCTGCTAGGGCAGAAAATTTTTACAGGCCAAAATGGCAACAAAAGCAGCTGCGGGACTAGCGGGACCCTAACAGCTGCTGGAAGAAAGGGATTCAGAGAGTTGACCTTTCTTCGTGACAAGTGTTTTCAACGGCACTGAGCTTCGCGAGCTCGTGACATCGCCTCCGGGCTCCATTTCATTTGTCTTATCTACGACTTCTTCTCACCTCGACATTTCGGCTTCGCGAGCCTGCGACATTCCGGCCTCTGTGCCCCTCGACTTCCCGTAACACCGACTTCTGCAGCTTCGGCTGCCCAGACGACATTCGCAGCATCTTGCTGCTTGACATTGAGGGTCATCGCACCCTCACTCTCACTCTCACCTTCGCCTGCAGTTTAACGCTGCCTCGACCGACTACAGCAGCTTTAGCTGCCCGAACAACACAAACAGCCTTCGGCTGCTCGACTTTCTGGGGCCTCTGGTGCCCTCGACCTTGACGCACGGACCCCACTTGGTTCGTTGCCCTTTTTGCAGCTCGGAAGCTGCTTGACCGATCTCTGCAGTCGCGTACTGCCCAGAGACCTTCTTCTTCTTTGCGGCCTCGGCTGCTGCCTGGAACACCACCAGGCTTTGACAATCTGTCTCACTGGCTGAGACCTCTAGACCAAACCGTTGGGTCGAAACGGTACAGAGCTTACCTGGAGACCGTGGAACGAGGCGACTGCCTTGTCCACAGAGCAGCGTTCTAGCCGCCTTGGGTTTTTCCCTGCGAGGGGTTTCCCCAAGGATGTACGGTCCTAGGTTGCAGCTACTGGCGATCTTAGGGGATCATGGACTTCCTGCCTCAGGGTATGGAAAGCTACTTGATCTATCTGTGCAAGAGAATTCTAGGCTGGAGAGGAATAGATCCCGCTGACGGGATGACCTCTTGAAAGTAAATGCGCCTTTGTGCCGATGATATGCTGGATGAACTAGATGGGAGACGCTGCTGGAGGGAAGCTCTGCGAGGATCAACTGTATTGATGTCCAATGGGACGTGCTTCACCGACAACTACTGTAGGGCGAGCTACGAGTAGAGAGGTGCCTCTTGGGGGTAATGAGTACAGAAAACGCTCGAGCATGTATACGGCTCCGATCCAAGAGGCCTTGCAGATGGTCCGATCGAGAATCAGCACGGCAGCGATTGTAGATAGTTTAGCTCAGCACGTCCTGTGCTCCATTAGGAGACTTTTTGGGGCCTACGGCCCCCCGGACGAAAAATATACATAACATAACATAACATAGCATAGACCGAGTGTATTACTTGTACTCCCTCGTTTTTGTCTTGTCTCGTAAAGTAGACACTAAATCTGCTTGAGGCGTAACTGAATGTGCCTAAAAGTTCCCAGCATACTTGTAATAAAGAGAATGTTGTCGCAAAAAGGAAAATGCCCATGCACTATACTGTATGCAATCGACCAAGGCAGAATGATGACGAGACCCACCATGATTGGACTTCGGTCCAGTGTCTACGAGCAGTCGGCTGACCACACCAAAGCTATCCTACACAAAAGCTTACAGCTTCAAGTTGACGTGGCAGATGGTCAACCAGTTACTGCTTCCTGTGCGAACCAACTGCATATGCAGGTCTTTGTTGTCAGGTTGCTGTGAAAAACTGCAAGTCACCGAATTTGAACAAAGGCTTGAAGTTGGCATGGCTATTGGCTGCGTGGGTACCACATACAGTGGGAGCCTTGTTGAAACATCTTACTTGATGGGACTCCTGAGGTATATCCTACGGCACTTTTGGGTTATGTGGACGTCTATTGCGCCACTATCTATTTATGGGACTAGTCCGGTTGTAAGGTGACACAGGGCTGCCAGTTGTAGTTACGTCAACACGCTCCTTTGCACCAACACTGTGGGTTATGGGCGAAAACACCGCGATCATCGTCCCAAGTTACGAAAACACGGTTGTGGCCAGACTGACAGTAATAAAAAGGACGGCCATGGTTTCCATTACCGCTGTGATGCGTTGATTGATGTAGTAGTGGTAAGTATCTGCGTTTTTGTGATCTATTACCTGCTGAACTGTGAATGAACTTATTTACGAAACTTCTTTATTGCGTTAATAACGAACACCCATCTAGTTATCTTTGGATTAATGGCTGACCTAGACGTTTGAATGGGGTGCAGGAAGTAAATTAGCGTGGCTGACCAGGGTTGAAAGCCACTCCACCCAATCCACGTAGTGGATCCACTCGTGGATTCCACTGTCCACTCCACTGGCAAAATCCCAGTGGATTGGCTAATCCACCGAATCCACTCGGCGATGTCGTGGATGGATTGGGTGGATTTGGGTGGATTAGAAGTGGGGTAGTTAAGGGCGCCCATGTATTTGGCAGAATGCCTCTAACAGAGGCTGATGTGCCCCATAATTGTTGCAATATTGCTACCCTATGTCAAAAACACCATGAAACTTCTGAGCAGCGCAATTTTAGAATACATACAATATAGGAAACACTATTCGAATGTCCTATGCTTTCTTATTGGGATGACGTAAGTCTTGATGGATATACTTAAGATTTGCTCCGTGAGTGCATATCATCATGAGGGCCATCAATAGGCGTATATTTTCCTCAACAACATATCCAGCAAATATCAAGCTCGACTGTCCATACTTTGGATTTATAATACAACAATTATACCATTAAATAATTGCCGGCAAGCTGATTAAAAAAACGCGTCCAGATCCCTCAATATCTCAATACTGCGCGAAAAATTGCAAGCGATACTAATCGCGTCAAGCTCGTGATGTGAAGGATGTTAGGGACTTATCTAATACCCGACCCCAATATGGCACTCGCTACGTGCTCGTCCACATCAAATTGGCTCGAAAGGCAAGTATCTGAAACATCTGCAGGATAAGGGCATATTGTGCCAACTGGTCGCGTTTGACGCGTCATTCGCGCTGACCTGACGACCTGTTGTTGACCCATCACCTGCACCATGTTTTGTGATTTCGACATGACAAAGAGATTATTTTACCATGACCTCGCCTGATTCCTGCTTCGACATTTCCGACAGCGGCTTCGGGTCCGCTGCCGAATCAACACCCTGCCCGACGCCGTATCCTACCGTTCAACCTCGACCCCTGTCTCGACTCTAAGGACCTCTTCCGTAAGCGATGAACAGTACGAACGTACGCTCTGGAGGCATTTCCCAGGCTGGGCGTTCTCTGAGCGAGCCAGGGAGACGCGTTGCTGGGCCTGGCAATTTGGATATGACATCCAAAAGGAAGACGCCCGCAGATGGATATGCCGAGCGTGCATTCGCAAGAATAATCCACATCCACGTCATTTCGAAGCTGATGGCATTCATAACGCGTATAATCATCTGTTCAACGACCACGGGATCCGCGCTCCGCCTGGAATGACCCAAGGAACTGCTGAAAAGAAGGCGAATTCTAAGGGCAGAAAGCCTCCGGGGCAGCGGACTCTCGCTGAATCCATGAAGCTCGATCTACACGACCCCCGAGAACAAGCGATTGCGAATGACTTCATCAAACGCTTCGACAAGGAACACTTCCGGAGGCTTCTGATCGATTGGATCGTGGCCAAGAATCACTCCTTTTCAATTGCCGAGGAGGCAGAACTCCATGCTATCTTCGATTACTTGAACCCGTCAGTTTCGGCACGTAAAGCCAATATTACCCACACAACTGTTCGAGAAAAGATCGTCGCCGCATTCGAACAACACAAGCAGAAGGTGATAGAGGTCTTGGGCAAGGCGCCTGGACTTATCCACATCTCCTTCGACGGCTGGCGGTCTGGAAACCGATACGCCCTATATGGTATCTGTTGCTTTTTTAGGGACGAAAACAATAAGCCTTGCAAGATTACGCTTGGGCTCCCCGAAGTTAGCGCCAGGCACACTGGGCCTAATATCGCCGCAGAAATCCTCGACGTAATTGAATCGTATCAGATCCAAGACAAGATTGGCTATTTCACGCTCGACAACGCGAAAAACAATGATACCGCCATGGAGATTATTGGTGGAGAGCTCGGCTTCGTTGGGGCCCGCAGGCGAGGACGCTGTTTTGGGCATACCTTGAACCTCTCCGCCAAAGCCATTCTATTTGGGCACGATGCTGACGCTTTTGAGCGGCGGATATCAGGGGCAGAGCCTCTTACCGAAGCAGAACATTTGATTTGGCGCAAGAAGGGGCCAGCAGGCAAACTGCACAATCTTGTGGTAGCTATCCACAGATCTGACATGTTGACTGGCATGCTTCGCAACATTCAACAAGAAGCCTTCAACAAGTCATCTGATCCAAAACTCAACGCCAGGAAGCCATTGGATGTTATTTTGGACAACGATACGAGATGGCTGTCACAGTTATACATGATACGACGAGCTCTACTGCTTCGCGACTATATCGAACGACTCATTGCCCACCATCGAATCGACTTCGAACAGCAGAACAAGGCCAAGAGGGGCGGTCCTAAGAAGTCACTCACATTGCCCTTTATTTGCCAGCCAGAGAACCAGCTATCCGACAAGGACTGGGAGGTGGTCGAAATATTTGCGCAAATACTTAGTTACTACGAAGCCACGATCAAAATGCTAGAAGGCGACGGCCAGATCCGCAAGCGGAAGCGTGGGTGGACTGGGTCATATGGTAATATTTGGGACGTTATTCAAGGCTTTGAATTTCTTCTCGAGCAACTTGAACGTTTTAAGGACATCGCGAAGGACTTCCCTGATACTGAACACTTCAGGATCAACATCAATTTGGGCTGGCAGAAGTTGAATGAGTACTATGAGATATTGAGCGAGACGCCCATCTACTACACTGGCCTGGCGCTCCATCCGGCATACCGATGGAAATGGTTTGAACGCAACTGGACTGATCGCCCTGAGTGGATTGACGAGGCGAAAAACATGGTTCACGATGTCTGGCGTTTTGAGTATCGGGAGGCCGCGTTGCCTGGACAGGAGCCACCAGCCGTTGAGCCAGTTCCCAAGCAGCGGAAGACTTCGGACAATCCGTTTCAGGAATACCTTAAACGAAACCGCTACACAGCGCCAGAAGCAGGTCATGATGGCCTCACGCCAGGCGAAGACGAATACCTGCATTGGATTACGCACTGCGAAAGTGGTGATGGCTCCATCAACGATCCTCTCGCTTACTGGCACGAGAAGCGATTCAAGTATCCAAACTTATCGCGAATGGCGCTTGATTTTCTCACGATACAACCAATGTCTGCTGAGTGTGAGCGTCTTTTCTCAGCAGCAGGTCGGATGGTGAACCCTCTCCGCCACCAACTTGAAGCCCAGATTATCGGGATGTGCCAGGTATTGCGTTCATGGCTGAGGGCGGGTATTATTCATGAATTAGATCCCTTCTTTATCTCGGTAGACGAAGAAAAAGTCAACCTCGAATTAGCTCAGATGTCGGATCAACAGCTTGAAGGATGGGCAACAAAGTGGCTCACTCAGGTGGTGGGCGTTCAAGACGAGATGGGGGCCCGTTAGGGATAAGGTCCCACTCGGAAGTTGGAATAAGGGACTACGTGGGCAATGGCTTCGGGAATAGCGTCACCATCATGGCATCAAGAATAGAGGCACTTGCCAATCCACCCAATCCACCAAATCCACGATAGCTTCCAGTGGATCCACGATACTGAGATATTCAGTGGATTATGATCTACCCACTCCACTCGAGCTGCTAGTGGATTGAGTGGAGTGGCTTTCAACCCTGGGTGAGTATCCACGAATCTCAGTCTGTGTCCTGTTTCGATGCATATCCTTGAGATGAAACGACGTGACTCTAGCTGTACCATTTCCATAGCGAATTGGCGTCTTGTATTTTCCAGTGTCATTGGTACTTTTTCCGGAAAATAGACGAGGAAACATTCTGCGAAACAGTGGACGCAGAGCTGGACCACAACAAGCGATGATGGCGAGATTGACTTCGATACTGCTCAGAGTATCACCAAGCGAGTGTCTTGAGTCGTATCCTTTGATGTAGAACTTCTTGTGCATATCGATCACACGAAGAATAGCGACAATTGTTACCCTGACCAAGGGTTAGTAATTGCGAATCAGGCGCTGGCTAAGTACTCACACGCCGCCCATAAGAAATACCACGATCAAACCCAGCTTCGCAGCGATCCGCATCTTGAGACCTAGGAAAATCCAAAATGGAATCAAAAGAACAAGAACATCTGTACCGATTGTGATGATGGCTGATGAGATGTAAAACACTGGCCCATCGATCTGACGTTCTGGCTTTATGGATAGGTCCCAGTAAGCGTTGATAGGAATGGTTTGGAATATCACAGTAAAGAAAATTGCAATCATCAGCGCGATATTAAATGCGTTTAAGCCGTAGATGGTCCATCTGATACTGCGATTATGGCCTCCAAGGCGAAGAAGGAAGAAAAGAATTGATGACTTGACAAGCGCCAGGATAGGGTTGTAAAGGACCTGCATTATCCAGTTGTAAAATAAAACAGGCTCGATGTCATATGACTTCGGAAGATCTTTGGTATGGAAGCCGATGTATTCGTATCTGCAGTCTATCAAGGATGAGTGCCCGGTCTTGGGGTGTGTCGCATGCAGCACTCACAGTAGTAATATGGAATATGTAGGCCGATAGAGAACAGCTATCTTGGTCAGTTATCAGATCAATCTCATCACCGCGGTAATCTTACCATTGCGACTGTGACGAACCAGTCATCTATGACAAGTCAGTCAGACCAACAGATCTCACGTAAGGCCGCACACATGCAGCATTGCCACGAACTCACCGATACCAATTTGCTTCTTACTAAATCTGGAGTACATACGGGCACCCCATGTAACGAAAGCAAGAGACGTCATGAGAAAAATAATCGCAATTCCAGTTTGCTGTGTCGCTGTCGTTGGTATTTCCGAGAGCGGCAGATAACCACGTCGGAAGACCATATTGGCAGCTGTGCCGCTGTCATTTTGGTCCATTTTGGAAGCCTCACAGATAAATTGATTGAAAGAAGGATATCATCAGCCGTGGGAATTACTATATACGTTGATACAATGAGTGCGTGGAAGCCACCTCGCCAGTAATTTAGTATTCCAAACGCCTTCCACGCCAGGATATAGCGCGATGACATACATTACTAAGTGTCTGCTTCATCATCAACAAGGGTCAAACTCTAAATCTAACATCATCAGACCACATTAATTCCACCACCATAAGCCCTAGTCGGTCATTCGCCGTCATTGTAGGGATTCTACAGGCCTGGAATTTTGGCTGTCTGGTCTAGTGGTCTTTAGCGCCGCAGCCACAGCTGGAACAGGTAAACCCTGTTATTTCGTGGGGAAGTGTTCTTGGTTCTAGAAGTTAGTTACCACACTGTTACATTAGGGGAATTCATCCGGAACAGGGGAAAGATTCTAGGCCTCCGTTGTGGCACGGAGAGAATCCTTTCTTGTATCTTCCCAGTCTTTGCAAATAAAAGTTAGCTCTTATGAGCATTCAGCTCGCAGCTAATGGCGAAAGAATAAAAAGTCAATACAACATCGGAATTCATAACTCTAGAACTACTCACTCGGCTCCTCCCCATCTTCGGTGTCCCGCGCAATCCGAAAGGCTTGGAGTGTGGCTGTTTCTCCACCTCTGTAGCCGATGTCTTCAACGGGAGCCGGCTCCAGGATTTCATCTTTAGATCCCTGATCTACTTTAGCCCTGCCAACCGGATGAGATTCCAGTGCCTTGGCTGCTTGGCATCGCAATCACAACTAACACTCTGAAAGTTTGAGCACTAAATCTCCCAGAGGGGAGCTGGTCGGCCCTCAGGCCTCAAGGTTCAATCAATGTCTGGACGACGAAGATCTTCTTCTTTCTGCAAGATTAACTTCAAGATAAATTAAACCATCGGATGAAATCGCGAACTCTAATTCATCTCAGGATATAACTTATAAATCCTAACTAAGACCTTTATAAGTTCTAACGTGGATGATAAGGAAGTGCTCCAGATACGCAAGTGCTCCACCCTCCTTTACCCCTTATTAAAATATAATAAATTAAAATACCATAAACCATCTGATCAATCAAAATCAATTACTATACTCTTTTCCAGAGGCCTGAATACCTACCTGACAGGTCCTTGCATTATGCCCAGTCTTGCCGCATGTTCCACAGCGCCGAACACCCGGTCGCGCCGACCTTCCTTGACCACCACTTCTCGATGATTCGGCCACTACCTGCGCATCAACATCTATCTGATCAATTATATCCCTACCTTCCTCTATAGTCATTACCCCTCCTTTCTGCAGTCTGGTCCTTTTTGCCCGCCGGCGCCGGCTTAGTATCTTATTTGCTTCTTCAAGGTCTTTCATCCTAGCCTCTATTATTGCTAGCCTATGCATAACTGCTATTGTTGCTTTAGTATTAGACTTAACGGCGTTTATAATTGACTCTGGTGAGCTGCTTTTATGTCTTCTGATTCGCTTTTGAAGGTATTCAGACTGAGACTGGGCCTCAAGTGGTGCCATTCGGGTCCTTGAAGTCCAAGGGGTCGAGGGTTCAGCAACCTCCTCGGGAGGCGTTGGAGTCCGTAGCTGCACATCAAGTTTTGAGATCACATTTTACGGGTTAAAGGAGCAAGCCCAGCTCCCTTAAAACCTCCCTAGATATTGCTTTCTGTAAAAGTAGCTGGAAAAGCGGCGTAGAAGGCAGGAAAGAACTCGGTCTTTGAGATATGGGCTATAGAGCATCTGATCAGATGCTCTATTTCTCGACCATATGCCTTTTTCAGCACTGCAAAGCACCCAACATCAAGAGGCTGAAGCAGATGAGACGCGTGAGCCGGCATACAGAGCGCGATAATCTTATTATCCTGGCAGTATCTCTCGAAATCGGCCGAGTGGTGGCTTTCGTGACCATCAAGGACCAGAAGACGATAGGCACCAACTGATGGGTTCCTTGTAGACTGATTAAAGTGCTTTAGCCACTCGAGACCCAGCTGGTTATTTGTCCAGCCATTTTGACTCGTTGCGATAACCCAATCGCCTGGGAGGTTACATTCTCGGTACCAATTAGCAAGATGGTATTGGCCTGCCCCAATGATAAATGGCGCGATCGATTGACCTTCTGCATTAATCGCCTGGATTACTGTAATCCATTCCCGGTTTCCAGGCTGCACTGATTTTGGCCTTCCTTGCCTTTCTGAACCTGTGACGACCATTCCGGCCATAATGATGCCCATCATAAAGCCAATCTCATCAAAGTTCCAGATATCATCTGATCGGATACCATACTTTGCGATTATGTTCTGTATGAGCCTAAGCCAGCCACGAATAATAGTAGAATCTTCGCATTTAGCTCTCCGGTAGTCATATCTCCGGAATAAACGCGTCTTAAGCTCTGGTTGTCGTCTCACGAAGTTATGAGCCCAACGCTTACCGACGGGTGACGCGTTGCGGTCAGCTAGCAGGGAATTGGCTATTTCTTCAATAAAACGCAGTCGCGAGGGAAATCCTCGCGAATCTAGGTCAAGAATGAATTGGACTATTATCTGCTCTTCCAGATCAGATAGTCGCCTTGACTTTTGGATAGTATTGCGTCGCGATTGAATGCCATATTGGCGGCGACGTAAAGCGAAGCGGTCAACTTCATAGATACTTGCGGCGCGTCGAAGACTTATTTTTGGGTTATTTTGAAGGGCCTGAAGTGCAAGAAGTATTCTAGCCTCATTTGAAGACCGTGACATACTAGGTGGTTGAGAAATATCTAATTAAATAAAAATGTTGTAGGTTGAGGGATTTTTAGAGCACTTGCTTATCATAGACGTTATATAAAGTTAGTGTTCCTAAATGCAATTTCTCGGGGACGGCTAGGCTCTTGTCGCACCTCCTCGTCTATATCCCGGTCTCAGTCTCCGATGGAGCCGAAGCCGAGGTGTTGGACAATCTGCACGACGCAGGGGTTTCTGCGTGCTGAGATGTCCAGCTCAGGGTTCCTTCACCCTAGTTCCATAAGCTTAAAATCCTACCGACGGTGAGAATCAATAGTTCTGGAAAATACTGCAATTCTATACACCGTGTTGTAGGCGCTAAACAAAGTCATGGGGTCAGCCAAAATTGCCTTTTTGAATTTTGCGGTCGCCAAGCTAGCCTTTTCGGGTCTTAGCATAAAATGTCTCCAGCCAACCAGATTTTAGCGGTCACACCCTAGCTTCTTTCGATTTTCGCGGTCACTGCACTAACCTAATCAGGATTTAACGGTCAATAATTCAGGGGCACCTCATTTTCTCTATTGTTTTCCATAAGGGAATCAGCACTTAGGTTTTCAAGACCACAACTAAGATTCCTTATCCTATATAACTCTTTCCGGAAGCTTAGCTATTGGAAAATATGAAGATATTTTTTTTTAATGATTAGATCTATATTCCTGTTGTAGCTGCTTGTTAAACTCAACAAACAATGCCGTCACCGCTCGACTGTGACGATTTCCTCTTATGGATTAGTACATTTTTTAGAGAGCGTTACGATTCCCCAATTTGGCTAGCGCAGATAAGCTGTCCCATATTATCATGAGGTTCGTGCGACTGGATATGAAACGCCCCGTACTTTGCGGTCGTGCATCTTGTTGCATCAGGGACTTCGTTCCTAGCGACGTAAGATTAAATGACTATGCCCGAACACACGGCTGCTCAGTTTATTATATTCTTTAGATAATTCTTATTAACTGACTGGTGCCATCACTGATCTCGGTGAAACTAGTCGTCTAACCTTAGCTGACGAGAATTGTCTAACGTACATGTGTTGAATGTTGGGGGGGGTTCACCCTCAACTTCAGGATTAAAGTTCAGGATTAAAGTTGGCAGTCCTAAACTTAGATCGTAGGGCTTTCATCTAGGACTTTCTAGGACTTAAGTCCTGAAAGGAACCAGTCGAAGATATAAGGTCTCAATGGTCTTTCGATTGCGACAGGATCAAGGAATATACACACGATTCACCTTAAATATCTAACAACATGATAAGCGAGTGCAACAGAAAAGCGAGTGCAACAAAAAATCCCCGCAATATATATCTTCTCAATTTAATCAATTAATTTTCAACCACCAAATATGTCAGACCCAAATATTGAGGCTAGGATTCTTCTTGCACTTCATGCCTTTCAAAATGACCCAGAATTAAGTCTCCGACGCGCCGCAGGTATCTACCAGGTGTTGTTTATTTGCGCAGTAGTGCTGGGTGAAAATATATTTTATGAAACTTGATTGTTTATTATTGAGATGAGAGTTCTTCTCGGATTTATATCTCTAGGTGATTTCATCTAGGACTTTGAACTCTAGATCTAGGACTTTCAGACTAACAGTCTGAATCCTGAAGGGAAGGGGGATCCCCGGATATTCCAACAATGGTTGCGAGTCGTCGAAATTTTGACCTTCATCGTCGTCCTCATCTTTTGTATCAATGTCGTCGTCGGAAATCCAAATGGGGGCGTCCCTTGATTCTCCAGTAGCCGAAAGTGCCTCTTCGCCGCACAGCTATACAGCGGCTGCTTGAGAGGCAGGGGGAGTGAAGCTCTGCAGTCTAGCATAAGAGGTTGTCGATGTCATGTTTGAGTTACCGTGCGTCGGAAAGTCAAGGGATAAGGGGGTAGCTCTGGCAGTACGATGAAGCGGAAGATGGGCGGGCATTGTCCAGAAGGCCGGTTCTTCATCCAGCGGGGCAACCGCATCCACCCAGATGGTTTCCGAAGCTCAGTTGGTTAGAGCGTCGCACTAATACTTCATACCGAGTATCCGGTGATGCTAAGGTCTTAGGTTCAAGCCCTGGCGGGAGCAAGTCTCTCACGCCTCCGGGTTTTTTGCACTTTTTGCTAAACGATGTTGAAGTTGTCGTTGGTCCAAGTCTTACTAATCGCCATAACTGACATGGTTGAACTCTGACCGACAAAGTCACAGGCTTACAACTCTGGAAGGGTCTCTGATTAACTCTGGGATTCACTGTATTGTATTGCAGGTTACTCTGACGATCACATGGTACCCGAGACCGACGGTCTTGGCCATGACCATCTGCAGCTTGAAATGATGTCTCGTTGTCGTCTCTCTATATTCCTTACATGAACCCAATTAAACCCTCTGGCCGAACCTGCCCCTACCACGTCCTCCTCTGCCGCCCCTGAACTTGCCAAACCCTCCTCTCCCGAATCCTTCCTGGTTCGGGTTTGTCTGGCCGCCAGCCTGGTCTGCAGGGGCGGCAGTCGGCTGGGCTGCTGGGTCGGCGGTCTGGTTTTCCTGGTCACCTCCTTGGTTTGCAGGATCCTCAGTCGGTTGGGCTGCCGGATCTTCAACTTGTTGGTTTGCCTGGTCATCGTCTTGACCGCCATTCTGCTGGTCACCACCCTGATCGGGATTCTGCTGATCAGCCTGGTCGCCGCCTTGGTTACCATTTTGCTGATCGGCTTGGTCACCGCCCTGATCACCATTCTGGCGGCCACCGTTCTGGCCACCCTGATTGTTGTTCTGATCACCTTGGTTGCCGTTCTGGTTTCCCCCTTGATTGCCACCACCCTGACTATCTACAACCTCAAACTTGGTGCAGTCATCCTGCGCACCTCTCTGGGCAACAGGCATCGTCACAGGCTGATGGTTCTGAGCAGCAATCATGGTGCACACGCGGTACACTCCCGCGGGCAGGCCCCCCTCGACAGTAGTCGACAGCAAGCCTTGGCCGTTGCCGTCGTCGTCAATACCCTTGAAGAAGACGAACTGACTCGGGTCCGGAGGCGTTGTCGATTGCAGCTGGCCAATGTCCTGGACGGTGACGTGGCAGTGCCCAATGATGTCACCGTTGCTGTCGAGGTCCTGCGGCGCAGTGTAGTACTGGGTAGTGGGATTGACGAAGTTGCCCGCGGCCAGATGCGACGTCTGCACCTCGATGTTGAAGGTAGTGCCGGCTTGCAGGGTCACTCCGGGCTGGGGGTTCGTGATCATGGCAGAGATCATGTTGGAGGTTGCGGGGATGTTGCCCATGGGGATACCGTTGCAGGAGCCTGTTTGGATCTGCTCGCCGTTTGTGATCGTCCGGCCATCACAGAAGTTGATGAAGTTGTTGTCGTCTCTGCAGAGGGTCAACAGCTAAATGGTAGATATGAAGAGGCTAGACTTACGTTGCCGACGCTGCTTGGCCATCCTTGATGCCCTCGGTGCCTGGCTCTTGGCCCGTCTTGGCGCTGGCGGACTGGATCAGATTGTCCTTCAAGCAGCTGTCCTGGCTGCCCCCCTGGTTGCCTCCTTGGCCTCCCCCGAACTGCCTGACAGAGACCCTCGAGGCCCGCTCGAGAGGGCTCCTGGCGATGGCAGAGCTCTCGGCCAGCCAGACTGAAAAGATAAGAGTCAAGAAAATATGGCGAAACATTTTGTATTTTTTTTTTGAATGAATGGATGAAATAACAAGAATATAAGCCAAAGATCAACTTAGGCGAAGAAAAAAGCAGAGTGTATGAATGGAACCGCAACGTAGTTACCTCTTCTGGTTGAGAAAGTGGAATGATTCTGAGGCTTTATACTGCAGTTGACTGAACTCCCTCGCGCATCCCCTCCGAGCCCTCCCCCTAGTGAATGCACTTGGCGGCTTTAGGTACGCTTCAAGTTGTTAGCTCAAGGGGCTTGTGGCCTTTACCCCAGCCTGCTAGTCTCCACGATCCAACGGCCGCCAGGGTCGCATCCACGTCGAGGCTAGGCGAGGGGCTAGCAGCGAAACTCCCCTGCTCTTGGTCTCCCGCCAGATCGGGTAAATCTGATATACTAATCGCGGCGGGACTGCCCTGATGCCGGGACCAAAACGGGGTGCACGTGGAGGAGGTGGCATAGGGTTGGTCCTTGAGACGACGATGAAACGTGTCACGACCAGCAAACATTACCATGCAGTACCCACCCACCGGTAACACCCACCTACCGATAAGCAAAAAAAGTATTTCCCCATACAAAATGCATTTTTTCAACAACGCGGTTCTTGGTCTAGCTTCAAGCTATCTGCTCGGGAAAAGCACTATTTTGTTGGAAATTCCATGATGCTCGACAACATCACGTTGCTTTTTAGTTTACGTAAGAGGCTTGGCCGCACACAACCAATGTAAAATTTCTGCAGATCGCTCTCCATGGCTTGGCCTCCTCCAACCTTGATGAAATCTTTTACCTACACTAGGCCCCTCTAGTCGTCTTTAAAATGCCTCGAGGATCTTATATACAAGATAAAGTTGTCGAGGCAATGTTAGATGTCACAGATAACGGACTTTCCCGGAACCAATCCGCCCAGAAGCACGGCATGCCCCAAACGACTCTTTCAGACCGATTAAGAGGTCTACCGTCAAAGTCTGAGGTCACCCAGCCTGCCCAGCTGCTATCCAAATCCCATGAGTCCAGATTAGTCACCTGGATACGTCGACAAGAGGCCTTAGGCTATGCTCCTTCTCACAGTCAAGTTCGAGCTACCGTCACTGCCCTCCTACGACAACAGGGCAAGGAGAGGCATATCGGCGTACACTGGCTGGCCAGGTTCATGAAACGACATCCACTTATAAAAACGAAGATAGGAAAACGTCAGGAGGCGTCTAGGTTCAATTCTTTTACCCCAACCGCGGTCAATTGGTACTTTGATATCCGCGAGAGCGAGTATGGCTGGATCAAGCCTGAGAACACTGTTAATGTTGACGAGGGCGGAATCATGGCTGGATTTGGTGAATATTTGTCGTTTCTCTCAGTAGACCCACTGATTCATTCCGATTCTAGGTTTGGATTCCTTGGCTATTGGCAGTAGTGACCCTAAGAGGAAGGCCTTCCTCAAAGGCCCTCAGTCCCGTGCTTGGACTAGCTTTCTCGAAGCCGTGACTGCAGATGGCCGCCTTCTGAAACCGGGGATTATTTTCAAAGGCAAAGAGCTTCAGCAACAGTGGTTTATCGATGAGCTCAAGGAGGTAGCCGACTGGTACTATATCACGTCCGACAATGGCTGGACAGACAACCATATCGCAGTCGAGTGGCTCAGAGAGGTCTATCTTCCCCAAACGCAGCCGGAAGATGAGTCTGATGCGAGGCTTATCATATTAGATGGCCATCGAAGCCATGTATCTGTGCGTATCTGCCTGTTCTGGATCTTGTGAATCGAGAATGTCGTTGACTCTAAATCCAGGATGAGTGGATGGCTACATGTTTTTTGAACAACGTATATTGTTGTTACCTTCCGGCTCATTGCTCGCACGGCCTACAGCCGCTGGACAATGGCGTGTTCAATGCCTCTAAGGCTGCCTATCGTAAAGAACTCCAAAAATTGACAAGCCTGACTGATTCTGCACCGGTAAATAAGGTCAACTTCATCAAGGCTTATGCGAAAGCCAGGGAAGTGGGTATGACGAAGAAAAACATCCTCTCAGGCTGGAGAGTGACGGGAAACTGGCCGATTTCACGACGGAAAGCGCTCATGCATCCTGAGATTCAGCCAGACAAGAAGGAAACGACGCCCGGGTCAGACGGCCACAGAGACGGGCAAGTCGACTCTGATCATACGCCAACGACCAGCCGCCACATCAGAGATCTGGGGAAGAACAAGAGCCCATCAACAAGGAGGCGCTATTCTGTGATATCGAGAGGGTTTGAAGCTCAAGAGTCAAAGATCGCCTCTCTCGGCACCAGAATAGCCAGTCTGGAGGAGGAAGTTGGCCGGTTGAGCAGAGGCAAGAAGAGGAAGGCGATACCGAATCCTAACAAAAGGTTCATGACATTGGCCGAAGCTCTAGTGGCTGGTGGCGCTATTTCGGAGCCAAACGAAGCAATTGAAAGGGCAGATGCTGTTGAGGATGTGATCGAGGTAGGAGGGATGGAAGAAGATGAGAGGTCAAATTCGGAGGAGGAAGAATTAACTGTGGTACGCACGCGGGCAGGACGTGAAGTTAGAATACCGCGAAAATACTAAAATCCACTTAATTCTAAAACGAAATTCGAAAATTATTTCACTCTTATTATTTTTGGTGGATTTCTTACATCTGGTTGAAAAATTGCATTTTGTATGAGGAAATTTTTTTTTTGCTTACCGGTAGGTGGGTATTACTGGTAGGTGGGTACTGCATGGTAGATGAGGCCACGCAGCACAGATGCCGCCTTGCTCAGTGCAGCCTCAGTGGCTCGGCAGAAGAAGTAGGACAGGAGGCTGTTGGATCCCTTCTCTAGCTCGTCGACGATGCCGCACAGGAGCATAGTCTTGCCTTTACCAGGGTCGCCTTTGATCCAGAGCAGCCGGCTCTCTGGATCGTCGCGAAATCGCTGGAAGTCGGCGTGGTCAAGAATCCAGCGATAAGAGTCCCTGAGTAGGCCGCCCTTCGTGTCTTGGATTCGCTTCTTATCCTCGCGAGGATCAGTCACATGCAGATCCTGCATACATTTCTCGTACTTGTCGTCTTGGTGTCTCTTCTCTTGCTGTCGTGTTTGGTCCTCAATGGCCGCATGGATGTCTTGGAGATTCATCTTTAGAGCGCTTGCGGCGTCCGTGAGTTTCCGGAGATAGATCTTGCTCTGCTCAGTGTTGTATTGATCCGAGTCTGTTCGAACAGCAGCCTCGGCATCCTGGATCTCATCGAGCTGGCCAGCCGAGTCATCCAGTCGGACCACATCCCTCAAGACCACAGCAGCCCAGTTGCGGTGGTAAAGGCAGACGCTCTTTATCTGATACGACAGAAGTTTCTCGTAGAGCCGCACGACATGCTTCTCCAGTTTGACTCGCAGTCCCGCGGAAGATTGCTCGGCCTTGTTCTCGTCGAGAAGCAGGGACACTAAGTTCCAGTACCACTCCATTCTCGACAGGACGTAGGCGATGCCTTTGCGATTGTAGCGTGCCTCGGTGACGGGGTTCGAAAGGATCTAGCAACTGTTAGCGAGGGATTATCTATCGTTCTCTTCGGCCTCGAAAGTTGATCACACCCACCTCTAGTCCAAGGCAGACGCCGATCCAGGCGACGGCGGCTTCCGGAGCAGCATGAACCGCCTTATCCACTATTCCCCTGACCGCTTGCACTGCTTGCAAGCCTTCGTCGATTCCTCGCTTGAAGGACGCTGCTTTCTGCGTCCGGTCTAGTCCATCCTGGACTAACTGCTGCATTTGGCGGCATCGCGTCTCGCGAGCCCCCCCTATCTCGTTTTCCGTTGATTCGCAAGTAACAGAGCTCGGGTCGTTTCGGTGTATTCCAACTGATAGGATCTTCTCGTACGCTTCGACCAGTTTGGGCTCGCTCGCTTTGAGCTCGTCGTAGGCCTGGTTCCAAAGTCGCTCTTGTAGACTCGGCAGCGGTGAGGTTTCAGCATCTGTTGAGGTGGGTGGAGAAGGCGTTGGCTGAGATGTTGGTTGAGTTGCTGGTTCGGATGCAGGCTGAGACGGTGTCGGCGAAGGTATTGGTGGTGATGGGGTGGAGGTAGATTCTCGGGGAGCGGGCTGCAATAGCCTTCTGGCCTTGAATTTGGCTTTCTCAAATAAGCTAGGTGCCATCTTCACTGAGAGGACACCTTGGCCTTGTTGCGCGATATGGCGGTATCAGCGAGATGGCTTCTCCCTCGATCGATGATGAGTCAGGATGACGATGGAGTGTCACGACTGACAACTCGGGCAGCAACATCTTTGCGGGATTTCTCGTGCGGGGAGGGGAGGCGTCAGCAGCTGAAAAGGAAGTCCCTGTAGCTCGGCGTAGCTTGCGAGGCCAGAGCAGCGCTGCCCTCAAATCAAACAAATTAAATGCGTGGTCATATTTGATTTATTTGACACTTTTTGGAACTGAATTTGTTGTTTGAGATATTTGATCAAACATTTCAAATGTTCCAAATCTCAGCGCCGTGGTTCTCCGATGTTATTCCCGGCCTTCCAGTGGGGCTATTTGTTGCGACCCTAGACCTTGAGCACGCGAACCTCATCTCTTCAGCCAATCGCTACTTGCCACCAAAGACCAAGCCAAACCCTACCAGCCGGAATACATCCAATATTCACCAAAAGATCATCTCCTAGGCACCATGCATGATCTCAAGTGCAGGCTGTGCTTATCAGCAATTTCATAGACCGCAACTGGAAAACGGTCAAAAAAGCCTCTTAATCATGATAGGTTTCCTGGTACATTTACTTGCCGGTCGGCAAACGCGGCACCTCTCCTAATCGCGCTTGACGGCTAAGGGTGAGCAAAACCAGGCCGGTGGAGAAGGGGTTAGTAGTAGTAGTAGTGTTTATTACGCCCGGGAGAACGGACCTCATAGGGCCTGTGGCTACGCTAAGCTATTCACGTATTCCCCGCTTTTCGTCCATTCTACACAAAAGAAAGCCCTACTGCTCTTCCTGTTCTTACTTTTCTAGCCCCGTTTGCTTGACACTGCTTGACAGACCTGCTTGAAGGCCAACCAATACCATCTCCAAGTGTTCAGCATCCTATCTTCAGCAGCTGAAGCATGGTCTGTCAACTTGAGGCTGTTTGTTGTTAGTAATCAGCTGTGATGTTAATATTAGTAGTCATTTGTTTTCTCCTTCTCAAACTCCTTCCTGGCTCAATCTTCCTGTCGCCATCGCAAATTTTTATGTTATGTTATGTTATGTATATTTTTCGTCCGGGGGGCCGTAGGCCCCGAAAGTCCCCTACTGGGGCACAGGACGTGCTGAGCTAGAGAAATTGGGACCTATCTACACACTAATTACAGAATACTATGACTTCCTCTCGAAATCCAATTCTGCAGACGCGTCGATAGACCACACACTATCCAGCATATCAACGGCACAAATGGCGCATCTTATCGAGCCTGTTACCGTCCATCGCAAATTTATGTATGTATGTATGTATGTGTATTTTTCGTCCGGGGGCCGTGAGGCCCGTAAAGTCCCCTATTGGGGCACAGGACGTGCTGAGCTAGAGTCTCTAGTGCTAAAATCTACGTAAAGCTTTCGCAAATTACAGAACAGACCACTATCCAGCATATCATCGGCTCAAAAGCGCGTCCTGTCGAGCCTGTTACCCGTCAGCGGGATGACCAGGTGCGAAGAGGGCGTCGGCATGACCGCACGAGGCGGCCGAGCCGTGAGAATAAAGAAAAGAAACAAAGAAAAAGGAGGGAAAGGAAGATAGAAGGAGAGGAGGAGACACAAATGCATCTCCGATCTGCCTCGTCTAGTAACGAGTGCATATCCTTTCGAAGAAGGCGCTTGACTTGGTCAACTTGATGTACTTGTCGAAGTTCCTTCCTATTGCGAGGTTGACCGCCGCAGTCGGCGAGGGGACGAGCCTTATTCGACACTGCCGCGGTACTTTCCTGCAGTAGAAGACATGGTCAGGTGCTTTGCGTCGTCCGCACGAGCAAGTCATCCGCGCGTCGTTGTGGTTGAATCGTTCGTGGTATGCGGCGAAATCCCCATGAAGGGACCTTGCCGCGAGTAGGTGGTGCAGGGCAGCCCGAGGGAGCGAGAGTTCTGGTGGGCAGCGTATAGTCGCCTTGAGATTCAATCTCTTATATTGCTCGGGAACGGAGGTTGTCCACCATGTTTCGAAAGCTTCTTTTGGTTTCTGCCTCGCCACCTTTCGCAGGTATGCTAGCGTCGGCTGAGCGCCTTCCGGTTCTGGCAGCGAGGACGCTGCCTTTGCTAGTTTATCGGCTTGTTCGTTGCCGGGAATGTCCGTGTGGCCAGGTATCCAGCGCACTTGTGTAGCTCCGTGTGATGCAGCTAACGCCTGGAACTCGACGAAGACTGCTTGTGAAGAATCAGACGGTGTGCCCCGTAGGCATGTGGCGGCTGCCAGGTTGTCTAGACAGACTACAATGTCCCGTGCCGCCGATCCTGGGAGGTTGAGAGCGGCCTTAAGGCCCTCCAGTGCTCCTGTAGCTTCAGCGTCAAAGACCTCGGCAGATCCAAGACGGCCCGAGCCGTCGCAGATAGAGAGGTCCTTCTGGTGAATGGCGAAGCCATAGCTGGCTGCTCCCTCCGAGGACAATGAGCCGTCTGAGTATACGATCCAGGTGGTTGGGTCTACTGCCTTAACCCACTGGAGGAAGGCCTCGGCCGATTCCTCTTTCGGGGCTGTCTGTAGGGGTGTATCTTGTCCCTTGCCGAAGCATTTCTGCATGAGGGCTGGTCGTGGACAGGGTGCGAGGAGCTCATTGGTCCTCCGAAGACGGGTTCTGAAGCTGCTCTCTGTTGGAGCTTGGTACTTCCGCTTGATGAGCTGATGGTATGTGGGTTGCCTGGGTGGAAGCGTGCGCTTCGCGAGGGGGTGAGCCTCATCAAGGGATTTGAGCCGGGCGGAGAAACGGTATCGACGTGCTTCAAGAAGCTGAGTGATAGGTGGTATCCCGCTTTCCCGATGGAGGATGGCGATTGGGGTCGTCTTCCAGACAGGGAGTATAGCTCGCATAGATTGAACTATAGCCTTGTTCATTCTCTGCAAGAGATGTTGGATACCTGACGGCCGGTCTTTAGACGGTAGCTCCCACCGCGGTCGGGTTGCCCCTGGGTACCATACTTCGGTGCCGTAGAGCAGGACTGGTTCAACGCAGGCCCTGACGGCACTCCGTACAGCGCTGGGAAGCGGGCCGTGTATCGTGTTGGTGAGTCCTCGCAGATGGTAGGCGACAGCCTGTGACTTAGCCGTCCACTTCTCTGCGTGGACTCGGAATGACAGGCTGCTGTCCAGCCAGATGCCTAGCCAGCGCATTGCTGCCTCGGGGTGCTTCTCGACATCGCCATGGCGTATTGCCGGTGCGGTCTCGAGCTTGCTCCGAGAGAAGTGCATGACTTCGGTCTTCTTGGGGTCGAAAGATACCTCGTTTGCGGCGCCCCAGCGGACCATTTCTTCGACAGAACGTGATGCCGCAGCGGCCGTTTCCTCGACCGTGTCGCCGACGCACAGGATGGCTGTGTCATCTGCATAGCCGAACCGGCCTTGAGGGTTGCTCAGTCGGTAGATGGGCTCTGTATATAGCAGAAAGAGGATCGGCGATACCGGCGATCCCTGAGGGAGACCGCACTGGAGAGGAGAGAGCGGGGTGATTGTATCTTGGTACCTAACACAAGCAGATCGGTCATCCATAAAGGATCCGGCCCATCGGGCGAGATGTTCGGGCCAGCCCTGTTCCCGAAGTCGCAGAATCAGTCTGTTGCGCAGGACAGTGTCGAACGCGCCTTGGATATCCATCGTGACCAGCGTGGCCACCTTCTTGCAAGCAAATGCCTCCTCAATGTCGTGAACTAGGGCGGCTACGAGGTCTGTCGCAGACCTCTTTGGAAGCGCTCCAGCTTGTTGCGGGTGAAGGACTCCATAGTGAATGCATGCCCACGCGAGACGGCGCGCGACTAACCGTTCCAGTCCCTTGCCGAGACAGGAGAGCAGAGAGATTGGTCGCCAGGCTCGCGGGTTCGTCAGGTCTCTGCGTCCAGGTTTGGCGATCATGACCACCTCGGCCGCTCTGAAAGGCTTTGGGTGGTGGCCCATGGCCAGGCACCCCTCGAAGAGGCGGCGAACGTGTGTTCCGATAATATGCCATACTGCTGTGAGGAGCTTGACTGTGATGTTATCTGCCCCCGGCGATGTATTCCCGGTGCGGAGGGTCGCATCCTGTGCTTCTTCCAGGGAGATTTCCTGCGGGAATGGGATCGTTTTGCGAGGGCTGACCTCGATCCAGGGATCTTGGATATCGTCCTCAGCAGTCCGACGCTCTAGAGTCGCTCGCCGGAGCGCGTTGGCCTTGTCGAGCTGGGTTTCGTAGACCACGTCGTCCACTTGGAGTGGAGGCGGTTGGAAGGCTCCTGGCGATCTCAGCCATCGGACGGCCTTGAAAACGGAGCTGCTATCTGAGAAGCTGTTGATTAGGTTCCGCCAATAGAGCCTTTTGGCGCGGCGGACCACACGATGGAAATCTCGCTTGGCTATTTGAACCTCTTGGTTGAATCCGAGAGGGTACAGCCTTCTGATCGGCCGATACCCAGCAGCAGCAAGGGCGCACTCTTCGGTCCACCACGGAGCGTTGCGTGCCCCCTTCCTCGCAGGCCGGCCCGCTGCCTTTGCTGCTGACTGCAAGAGGCTCACTAGTGTGGATGCGAGCTCGTCTAGTTCTAGTGGGCTCGAGGCGGCGACGGGGATCGCCGTCGATCCCAGCTCTACGATTTCGACGAAGCGCTTGAGCTCGTCGTCTGTTGTTGCCCGGATTTTGCCTGGCTGTGTTGGGGCCGGCTCGACATTTGGGAGCGTTAAGCTAAGGGTGAAATGATCAGAGCTGGTGGCTAGGTGGTCCTCGACATTAGCTTCAGCGAGAGGTACATTCGAAAAGGCGAGGTCGATGGTGTTTCCATGTGGGTTTGTGGGGATGTCTGAGGTGTTCAGCAGGCCGAGGCCATTTTCTGATGCCCAGGAGGCAATCTCGTGGCCGCGGTTCGTAGTTAGACCTGTCTGCCATGTGTGATGTCTAGCGTTGAAGTCGCCTGCCACGAGGCAGCGATCAGGGATCGGCCATTGCAGCAAAGTATCCAGCGCATCCCTTTCGTCGTTCTGGCGATAGAAGTTGACTACTATTGTATCGTTGACCGAAAGCCACAGGATATCGCGGCTTTGGTATGGTCGATTCTGATCTGTCGAGAGCTTAGAGTCTCGGCGGACGTACGTCATGACTCTAGGTCGAGTGGAATTGCTGTTCCAGGCTTCGACTGGAGAGTAGGTGTCGTATGCAGGATGGGTCTTCGTGAGGCAGCGGGAGTTTGCAGTTGTCGTCCATGGTTCTTGGAGGAGCACGATGTCGTATCGTTCAGAGTCTGCCAATGCAAGGGCACAGTCGTGGACCGGGGGAATCTTGCCGACGTTGGCTTGAAAGACCCTGAGGGTCTTTTTCTCGCATCTTCGTGCTCGCGGGCGCCTACTCGTGCCCATGATCGTGGGGACGCGTGATCAGGGCGATGCGGCGCTTCCTTGGGGACCCGGGTCTTGGGTGCTCGGGTTCCTCCTCTGCCTCGGGGGTAGTGGCCACCATGATGCAAGACGGCGCTCTTGACGCGGCCGGACTGGGAGCCTGAGGGCTCGATCTTTCTAGGGACCTGGCGCTATCCTGCTGTGGGCCGTTTTGCTGTAGATCAGGTGCGTGCCGTTGCGCTTCTACGTTGCGCTGGCGAAATGTTTCAGCGCCCACAACTCGGATATGGTCCCTCTGTTCTTTGGTCAGTCGGCGGAAAACGCCATGTACCTTCTTCGGGCGTGCTGGGCAATCGGCGAAGTTGGCGCTGTGCGGGCCGAGGCAGTTGGCGCATTGCTCGGGTGCGGTACAGCCCCCGGAGTC